TCCATCAGGCACTGGTTCCTGGAGTCATCATCCATTACCTTCTCTTTTGAGCCCAGTATTTCCCGGGAAGTTTTCTCCCCTCTGCCCCTCCACATTGCCTCTCTTTCTCCCCTGTGACCTCAGCCTTCCACCAGGCTCCATCGATCGCATCCATCGGTCGGTCGGGTGGCGCCAAATCCTCCCTCCCCTCTTCCTGCTGCTCCCCGTCTTTCTAGCTTGGTGCTTTACCTGTTCCGTTCCGTTCCTTCAAGTTCATCTGCCTGGCCAGTAAGCGGTTCATCAAAAGAATCCCCAAACACCCAGCAAAAAAAGCAAAATATCGGTCACCACACTGCCTACTTTACTTCTCCATATTATCCATACTTGAACCTTGGTCCTCCTTCGATTCTCTTTTCCCCTTTCTCGTTTTTCCCTTTCTTTCCCTTTTGACGTATTGTTCCCTTTTTTTCTTTATTCTTTCACTTTACTCGTTTTCGAGCCTCGACCACACAAACTTAATTCCCAAAACCTCGAGTCGTTTACCTACCCCCCCTTGGCCCTCGTCGCTCCAGACCATTTCTTTGTCGCAAAGTCTCTGGATGGATACCTGGTGGCCATGAGCACGACCGAAAACCAGACAGATCCATCAGCTTCCAAAACCAGCCCAGCCCCAAGTACAGCGGGCTCAACGGGCACTTCAGGTATTACTGTGCGCACGGGACCAAACGGACATATGAGTTTCAGAAGGTGAGTGTTGACCGTTGTGGTGATTGCTTTTTTGCCCGTTTGCGCTCGCGGGGCTGTAAGTGATGAAGCCAGACTGCCTGGCGCAGAACTCCCAGAATCCGAGCGGGGGGACTACAGGACGTGAAATATAGATTCAAATTTGGTCGAGATCTTATAGAAGCTAATCTTTTTTATCTAATCGCTTTTCTCCCAATAGACAACGTGCGTCGCGTGCTTGTGAGGTACGTCTTGCTTCCTGCGAGGTCGCGTTTGTGCTGTTGAGCCTCGGCACCTCGGCTCAGATCCCAGCTTGCTTTTGCTCCTTACTCGCCGGTCGCAGGTAATGCGCCGCGCGCAAGGACAAAGACAATGCAACCACATCTCGATCTATAGGACTTTTGTTTGGCTAACATGTTATTCTCTTGCGCTTGTGAAGACATGCCATGCTCGAAAAGTGAGTCTATACCCCTTTTCCTCCGTGTTACCACCTGTCCCCACTCGGATGGATGGTCCCAGTCCTGCCCGTGCCTGGCCTGCGCCTTGTGATCGTGGACGGCCGAACAAGCTCGCTAATCACGCCACTCCATGGGTAGGTTCGCTGCGATGCTGCCAGTCTAGGGGTGCCATGCACCAACTGCGTGGCCTTTTCGATCGAGTGCAAGATCCCTACGCCGAAACGCAAGAAGAACCAAACCAAGTCAAAGGAAACAAGCGGGTATGTCTCGGTCTTCCATCCCATCGTCGGTGTCGAACTATATTGACCATGATGCTTCGTTTCTTGTTTACTAGAGGTGAGGAAGCCGAACCGAAATCGCCGCCGAGCAAACCCGAGCCACTACCAGTCGAAAGCGGGAAGGATGCCTTTGGCTATCAGAGGAGTCGGATGGCTGTCGACGGTATGCCGGTCACTAGCCTCACCGAATCGCAGGCCGCTCAACAGGCTTCCCACAATTCGATGTATGCTCAATTTATGAAGCCTAAATTTGCGCGCGCCCCGATAAAGGAAGCGGGGAGGGTGGCATATCTTGGAGAGTCGTCAAACCTGTCGCTGCTCGTCCAGGACCGCCATGGCACCACCGATGTCGTACACTACCCTCTACCCCCGAACATGGGCGGCACGCCTGCTCGGTTGACGGATCTGGATAGTTTGGAGTTGGATATTCTGCACCAACGTGGCGCCTTCCTGCTGCCTCCAAAGCCACTGTGTGATGAGCTGGTTGAGGCCTACTTTAAATGGGTGGCCCCCGTTGTGCCCATCGTCAATCGCAGCCGCTTCATGCGACAGTATCGTGATCCAAAGAACCCCCCGTCTTTACTTCTTCTCCAAGCCATACTTCTGGCTGGTTCGAGGGTCTGCACCAATCCGCAATTGATGGACGCCAACGGCTCTACTACGCCAGCTGCCATGACGTTCTATAAGAGGGCAAAGGCACTATACGATGCTAATTACGAGGATGACCGCGTCACTATTGTCCAAGCGCTGGTTCTTCTAGGCTGGTACTGGGAAGGACCTGAAGGTATGGATAGTGGCTTATGCTAATCGTCCTTGAACTCCTTGGGTATATGTGCTAACCTGCTTTAGATGTTACGAAGAATGTCTTCTACTGGACCAGGGTGGCCACGGTCGTGGCTCAGGGTTCGGGTATGCATCGAAGGTATGCACAAGGCTGACTTGTCCCTTAATGCACATTTATTAACGACACTACAGTGTGGAATCGTCTCAACTTACCAAGCCGGATAAGAGGCTGTGGAAACGCATCTGGTGGACCCTGTTCACAAGGGACCGATCAGTGGCTGTCGCGCTCGGCCGGCCTATCGGTATCAATACTGACGATTCGGACGTCGGGATGTTGACGGAAGACGACTTCATTGAAGATGAGATCGACATCGCGGCGGAGTATTCGCCAGACCCGGTGCACGTGCAGTTTTTCCTTCAATATGTCAAGCTCTGCGAAATCATGGGTTTGGTCCTCTCCCAGCAGTATTCCGTGGCCTCGAAATCAAGACGGATGAACGCTATGGATCTCACCCACTCCGACATGGCATTGGCAGATTGGCTCCAAAACTGCCCGAAGGAGGTGTGCTGGCAACGGCAACGGCATCACTTCTGGGCTGCTCTTCTCCATGCCAACTACTAGTGAGTCATGCGATAAGGGAGTTTGTTCGGTCTCGAAACTAACTAGGTCAAGCACCACACTTTGTCTCCTGCATCGAGCCCATATGCCGCCTGCGTCTTCCGTTTCAAGCAACTACCGCGTAGAAGAGATGGCCTACCCTTCGCGAACCATTGCGTTCCAGGCTGCTGGAATGATCACTTCAATTGTTGAGAACCTCCACAATCACAGCGAGATCAGATATGCGCCTGCCTTTATGTGAGTTCCTGCATCGACCATATGTTGACATCTACTAACTCCTGTATAGTGTCTACAGCCTGTTCTCGGCCCTGATCATGCATGTTTATCAAATGCGATCTTCCGTTCCCTCAATTGTGGCCACCTGCCAGGAACGGATTAACATCTGTATGCAAGCCCTCAAGGATGTGTCTAAGGTCTGGCTCGTAGCCAAGATGGTGCATACGCTATTTGAGTCCATTCTCGGGAACAAGGTCCTAGAAGAGCGCCTTCAGAAAGCTGCAGGCAAGAGACATCAGCGGGTACGGCCCGAGGCTGCTCAGCAGCCGCCTGCGAAGAAGCCCGAACCCCCCAAGCGCAAGTTCGACGAGATGGAATTTGGCCTACCGAATGGCGGAGGGCCCACGCCACCGGTATCTTACGAGCGATCTCGTCCCCAAACGCCTGCAGTCACGCCCTCGAGAGAGATGCAGCCTCCGGGTCTGAACCTGCCACAAGGCTCCCCTCCAGCTCCCGGGCAGCCGGGTACCTCGCGCGGTAATACGCGCCCGACGACTCCTTTCAATCAATACTCCTTGCCTGCCACGCCCCCGGATCTATTCCTTGTTACGCGTACATCACCCAATCTTTCCCCATCACTGTGGGAGAACTTCCAACCGGATCAGTTGTTCCCTGACGGCACGACGTTCTTCCCAGAATTGACATCGCCCCAACCGAACACGGTCGACCCGCAACTGCAGATGCAGTCTCAGCTACAAGCTCAAAGCATGGACCAACGGACGATGATGCCGCAGCAAATACCAGGACGTGGTAGTATATCCGCCGCTCAGGGCAGCCCGGAAGTCATGTCGACTCTAACCCCTGGAATGGGCCTGCCAGGCCAGCATTCACAGCAGGTGTTTGGGATAGAAAGCCAGCAGGCTTGGCCAATGCAGAATATGGACGCGACGCTGGGCGGAGCGCCTATGGACGCCGCGAGTCAGGATGACAATTGGAGCAGTAGCTCAAGGAGCGGCCCGACAGCTCCCACCACACTCAATGTGGAGGACTGGTAAGTTGGTCATGGTGGCTCAGAGCAGGGCCTCAACAAGAAATGTGACTGCAAGTATACTAACTCATGACTCTCTCAGGTTCCAATTTTTCGGCATTAACGGTAGTTTCGGCGATCTGGCGACCTAAGCGGCGTTGTGTCTATAGCGCTTTCTATATTTGATATGGCATGGGTGGTTGTTTGATTGATATACGGTCATAGTGGTCTAATCATCCATATGCTGTCCAGCTAGTCCCTCGGAATTCCGAAGGGTATATTGTGTTTTATATTTCAGTACAGCGAGCCTTATGTCCAGATCTCCCCGGTTGTTGGAGATGTGGATGAGTGTCATTCTTGACGGTGGGCGGTGGGATCAGGCGCAACTGGAGGATGTGCCTTACATTCATGTGTATAATGACTTTTAGTGGTAGAGCCGAAATGATGCAATGAAAATTGCAAGTAAACTTCTGATGGAATAATTCAGTTGGAATGTAAAATTCTCTCTATACGTAACAGGTGATTATTAGTTGTTGGCTCGATGTCTGCCTCAGGCTGTATATGAGTCAGCAACGAGACTGTTCCCGCTTGGGCCTAGCGGATGACGACATCGCAGGGCGGGCGGTTCAGCCAATGACAAGACGCGGGATCTGGGGCCAGCTTTACCGACTCGGGCAACCGTCGATGCTGACTACTCCCGGGGGATGACTCTTCTGGGGAAGATAATAATTTCGCCTTTTCCATACCAGAATCTCCTGTTATCCCATCATTCTTTGGCAATTTCATTCTGCTTTTTGCCATTGTCATCTCTTTTTTGTCCAATCCCACCTGTTGTCATATCCGGTGGTGACTCTCCCTTCTTTCCGACCCCTTTCTCTCGCCCTTGCTCATCTCCCCGCTGTTCCGTCCCCGCAGCGATGTCGGCCGCAGGATCAAGTAGTGATGCCGCGGTGAAGAAGGCTTTCCCTCGGGTTGACCTCGAGGGTCACGACCTGCCTCCCTCCCCCGCCCCTTCGAGCCCCCATGGTGGCCGTCGCTATAACATTGCCACGGAGCTTGTATATACGGAGGGAAATGACCAGTACAATGCTAGCAGCGTTCCGATCTACCAGGTACAGATTAATTCCCCGTGATGCCTCATTTCCCGGGGGTCAACCATGACAGGACATGAGTCGAGCGGGAGGATAGGGCTAATTGATGCTTTTGTAGAGCGCTACATTCAAACAGACCTCCGGTGGTGGAGGCGGCGAATATGATTACACTCGCTCCGGAAACCCGACCCGGACACATTTGGAGCGTCATCTCGCCAAGATCATGTCCGCCCAGCGGGCGCTCGTCGTATCCTCTGGTATGGCTGCATTGGATGTGATTACCCGCCTGCTTCGTCCTGGCGACGAAGTTGTGACCGGTGATGACCTCTACGGTGGCACCAACCGTCTTCTGAAGTACCTGTCCACGAACGGTGGCATCATCGTCCACCATGTTGATACTACGGTGCCGGAAAAAGTGCGCGAGGTTCTGACCTCGAAGACGGCGATGGTCCTGCTGGAGACGCCGACCAACCCACTCATCAAGATCGTGGATATTCCTCAGATTGCTGCCGCTGCCCACGAAGCGAACCCTAACTGCGTCGTTTCGGTCGACAACACCATGATGTCGCCTCTTCTGCTGAACCCTCTCGAACTCGGTGCCGATATTGTGTACGAGAGTGGTACCAAGTACCTTTCCGGTCACCATGACCTTATGGCGGGTGTGCTCGCCGTCAACGACCTGTCTCTCGGCGAACGCCTCTACTTCACAATCAACGCCTCCGGCTGCGGTCTGTCGCCTTTCGACTCATGGCTGCTGCTGCGTGGAGTGAAGACGCTCAAGGTTCGGATGGATCAGCAGCAGAGCAATGCCCAGCGCATTGCTGATTTCCTGGAAACTCATGGCTTCAAGGTGCGGTACCCTGGTCTGCGGTCGCACCCGCAGTATGAGCTGCACCACTCGATGGCTCGGGGATCGGGAGCCGTGCTCTCGTTCGAGACTGGTGACGTGGGTGTCAGTGAGCGGATTGTCGAGAGTGCCAAGCTGTGGGCCATCAGTGTCAGCTTTGGCTGTGTCAACAGTTTGATCAGTATGCCATGCCGCATGAGCCACGCCAGTATCGATGAGAAGACGAGACGGGAGCGCGCCATGCCCGAGGATCTGATCCGGCTGTGCGTGGGTATTGAAGATGCGGATGATCTTATTGATGACTTGCGACGGGCGGTAAGTTTGCCATTTTCTCTCAAATGGGGGTGATTGATCACTTTGAGCTAATAATGGATGCAGCTGGTGCAAGCTGGTGCTGTCAATGTCACGCTGGACGACTTCCAGGCGAACTCGTCCAACTAAGCTACGTATGCATAACACGCGCGCGACTGATGGATTGTGCAAGTTCTTCCTGTAATTGAGGCATTGATTGAGTGCTACGGTCACGATTTTAAGAGACGATCATTTGGGCGTTCTGGAGCATTAAATAATGAGTGTAGTAAAAACTTCTTGGGGAATGAAACAACTATATTATCTGCAACATCCTACATTGTAATATTGTCTTGTCGGTGGATCGTTTATCCCGGGGATGGCAGGGAACCGTTTATCCGGGAATGGTGATGGCCTCAAAAACCAGGGATCCGTCGGCAGTTTGGCGGAAAGATCGGCCGGCATCGGAGGCAATCCCGAGGGCGTTGCAAAAGCTGGACCAATCATTGGCCGGACACTTCTCGTCCGCCTGCAAACCGATTAAATAATGAGTCGCTGTCGCGATGGATCTGATCTCTCGCTCACTCGCTCTTACTTATGTATGTCGGGCGCGAGACTAACAAACTCCGAGCTCTTTTTTTTCTTTTGCAATGGACCTGTAATCCCGTCGGGCTCCCGTGCCTTAATCCCTCGTTTTGGACTGCGAACCTGTTCGCCATCCCCAAACCCCGACAATCTCACTCATCCGCCCTCCCCGGCAATTGTCTTCTCCTGCGCTGGTCTGGATGACGTTAATCGAGCTGTCGCTGTAACCTCCTTCTCTTTTTCACCCCGGGCGATCCTATCTCGGCCCTAGACTTGCTCGTTTTTTCTGTCTTTTCTTTCCTTTTGCTTGTCTCTTTCACCACTTCTCTGATCGCATCCCCGACCGGTGAAACTATACCATGCCTCGGAACGCGCTCTCCTCCGAAGCGCCTCTCCCCATGTCCGCCATCACGGAGCAGTCCATCTCGTCGGATTGGAATACCAACCGTTTAGGTGCGCGACTGGGAGTCGATGTCGCCAGTGCGGCGACTGCAGGTGCCTTGACATGTCCTGTCATCACCGTCATTGATCGGTATGCTAGCTACAAACTACCCTCGATACATCCTCATGCCATATGAAGAGAAACAAAGATAAGGAAAGGAAATCTAACGGGATAACTTCTCTGAACCAGCGCGATTATCGAAAAAGCAGCCAAGGGCGTCCCCATCCGCCAGACCATCACATCCTGCTTCCGCTCCATGTTCACACAACCGGGGAGCTTCTTCCTCAGCACCCCATTCCTCCTTATCTACACCCTCTACACATCCACCTACCTCACCGCGAACACCATTGACACCTTCACCTCCACCGTGCGCGATAAGCCCTTCTCGACCGTCTTTCCCGGTACCGCCAAATTCCTCACCACCACCGCCGTGAACATGGGTATTTGCGTATACAAGGACGCCCGATTCGCGCGCATCTTCGGTGCAAAACCCTCTCCTCCTGCAGCGACATCTGGAGCGCCACAACCCGCTTCCAGAGCTACATCTACATCCACCCCAGCCTCCTGCCACCCCTCCGGCGCCGCCAAAGTCCCCAATATCTCCTACGGTCTCTTCTGTCTCCGCGACAGCATCACCATCTTCGCCTCCTTCAACATCCCCGCCCTTGTCGCTCCCTCCATCCCAGACTCCATCGCCTCCACACCCGGAATGAAATCCGCTCTCGCGCAATTTTCCTGTCCGGCTCTGATGCAGTTCGCGAGTACGCCTATGCACCTGCTCGGATTGGATCTGTATAACCGGCAACCGCCGGGCGGGTTGGGATGGCGTGAGCGCACCTCGCGCATCAGACGCGACTATATCCCCAGTTGCTTTGCGCGCATGGGCAAGATTGTTCCGGCGTATGGTGTGGGTGGTGTGGTAAACGTACGGATGAGAGCTTCGTTGATGGAGTATTTGGAGGGCAAGAATTAACCGCTTACTTTTTCATTTGTTTGCGACGACGTTGATGATGATATCCTCCCCCCCTTTTTTACAAGATCCAGTTTATGATCCTTGGATCTTTCATTAGGGGAGTGGGCTACTTACAGTTGCATATATGCAACACGTGACATATACTTATAGACAGAAGCAAAGAGGCATGTGCTCTGCTCTGCTCTGCTCTTCTCTGTTTTGTTCTGCTTGACTATTATATCTGTCTGCTTTTTCTATACTACACTCTACTCTCCACTCATAGAGTCAGTCACGGGTCCGGCGCTTTTTCGTTGATACCTATATTCTTTATTCTTTTCGAATCATCGGTGTTCCATGTGTGCGTGTTCCATGTTCAGTTCGTTCGGGTTATAGATTTAGAGAATCTGACGTACTAGCTAATGTCTGGTTTTGGATGATTATGAGATGAGATGAGATGTACTTGATTTGTCTGTGTTATATGTTTGATAGCTTGGCTGGCTATCTAGATTGATTCAGATCGAAATTTGGGCAATTGAGGAAGGAACTTAGTGGTTTTTAGATGGATCGAATTGGATTGGATTGGATTGAAGCCCAGAATCAAATGAGATGTGTTACTAGTATATGATTCATCTGGATTTTCGAATAGTGATCATTTTAGTACAACTAGGTAAGTAGTACTAGGATATGTACGGTGCTTTATGATAAGAGGTATTATTAGGTACGACGTAGTAGTATCACTTCTGCTTAGTATTATATCTGTGTTGGAGCCAAGTCTGGAGTGGAATTCGTAAGCGTAAGTAATTTTACTAGTGGTGAGAGGTTCCATATGGGATAAGTACTATCTTTTAGTGAGTAATTGAGGGTATTAAGGTACAATATGTAAGTATATGCTGGAATAACGAGCAAAGAGGGAGGGGGTAGTATCACACAAGAAGCAAAGATGAAAGATCAAAGATGGGAAAAATCAAACTAGGTACAAGCAAGTATATAATGTGACGATCAAGTATTGTATTCGGGTCGAAGTTGTATACGCGAAAAAGGATGTTACCACCTATTGTATATTTGTTAATTAAGATCCTATAAAGCAGAGTGGAGGACTCACGAGAATGATTCCGTATGCAGATAGACTTCCTCCACAATGCTACCCTTCTTCAGAACTTGGCCCTGCGCTTCTGCAGCTGCGTTTCTCACGTCGCGGATCATGGACCCCGGGCCGCAGGTAAAGACGGCGATGCGTCTTGACGTGTTGGATGTGGTGCTGGCTGCGATAATCCCTGATATGTCTGGTCGGTTCCCCATCTGGACAACCGTATCTGCAATGTCCACCTGCGATGAGACTGAGTCGACGGAATCACCGGGTTGTCTCTTTTCCACTGAGTCTGGGATCAGGGGCGATCCCGAAGCTGGTGTGGGCAAGAGGGGGTCCTTCGTGGTGACGTGAATGGAGAGGGAGATATTGTCGCTTGAGACGTTGTAGGCTGCAAGCTTGGCTTTGATTTGCTCCCGGTACCAGTCTGCGAGGGCGGCGGTGCGGGTTGCAAAATGTACTTGGATTGTTGCGGTGGGCTGCTGCTGTTGCTGCTGATGAGTCCGCAGTGCTTCCTCGAGAATGGCCAGGGAAAAGCCACCGCCAGTTCCTCCAGTAATTAGGACATAAGTGTCAAACCGGGCGAAATCGACGGAATGGGAAATCCCGCCATATGGGCCTTCGAGGAGCACTGTCTCAGATGAGTTCGGCTTTTCGAGGGCAGTGTTGCCCAGACTGGCTGTTAGTCCGCGGCGCGGCTTGACGTAGAAGATGATTTCAGGGGCTTTGCCGGTTTTCTCGAAGTCCTGGTGGAGGGAGCAGATGGTGAAGGGGTGGGCGCTGAGACAGTGGATGCCTTGCTGGAGGCTGAGGAATCGGACGAAAACGTGTTGGCCTGGGCGCCAGGCCATGATTGTTGGAATGCGGATCCGGACGAGGCCGCAGGGGAGGTGTTCGATTGTGGCTGTGTGGCGGCCATGCATGAAGTAGGTGCGAATGTTGGATATCCATAAGCTGAGGATGTAGATTGCTCCTGCGGAGATGAAGTAGTCCCTGATATGGTGAGCGGGATCCATGGTGTGGTGGTCTAGGGGAGCCTACCATGAAGACAAGCGGAAGTCACAGTGCAAGAAGAAAAATACGATGAATACCAGAGCGGCAAGAAAATGAGTGGCTTTGAAGAATTCATAGAATCGGTTCCTGTAGGGGTCAGTTTGAGTTGATCATTTAGTTTGAATTGGGCTGACCTGATGGCTGGCAACGACATGAATGTCAGATATGCCTGCGGAATTAGAGCGGCAACCCCAGTCCAGTATGTAACCTCCGTCTTCCACTGGTCGACCATATCGCCTTGATCGATGTGGTAAATAATGAAAGGAAAGGTGTGGACGAGCGCCAGGACAAACATAGCATAACTTGTCCAGTGATGAAACACCTGGGCAAGGTCAGTTTTTTATCTTGCCATATTCATTATAGACATACTTGAAGCTTTTCGTGAGGCACGCCGGTCAAAGTTGAGATAAAATTAGCCTTTGCGCTCAATGCTCTACTTGAGGTCAGTTATCGGTTATATTGCCGTCGGTTGGAGAGTGGCCTACAAGACAAATGGTAGCAGAGCCAGGGCCATCCATCCACTTCTCGTCGCAATTGGCGGGCTACCTCCATAGGAGACCGTTTCTGTATTGGGCCAGTAGTAAGGCTGCGGTCCCAGTGTCATGGCTTGGTATAGTCAGTCAAGGGCTCTAGTGCTTAAGTATTGAAGTACCAACCCAAGAAGAATACTACTCCAGCCGACACCAGGAGAATGACCCCCAACGACGACGTGCTAGAGCGCAGCACGGGTAGCTTGAAGCATCGGTAGGCAAGATATCTTCCCACTGTCGTTGATCGTTGCCATATTGTAGTCCTCTTGAAGGACTGCGGACCATACTTGGAAATCAGATGCAGGAGGGAGAAAACGCCGACAGTCGCACATAGAAAGTATATGGTATTCAAAGCATAGACGTGGTCGGATTGATACCTGTTAATGAAGACACGATTAACATGGAGTCAATTATATGGGAGCATTGAGGCGTACCAGTATCTCCAATGTGCGTCACGATAGGCACACTGCTCTGGGGTCAAGGTGCAGTGATCAGCCCGGGAAGAATGTAGCATAACCGGCTGGTCCAGCCATGGCAGCCCCATGTTGAGGAAAGGTTAGTGAGCAGAGACACCAGTCTGCAGAACTGGATATGATGACGCTTTCTGTATGCACTTCTTACATCCACAACGTGGTTCAGGAACAAGGTCACCAGAATGATCCATGTAAGGGCCATGTGTCTCAAGTGTTGAGTTTTGTATGATCGAGCAGGGGGCCCTAGATACAGGGCGATGCAACAGCATGATTCAGCTGCTTCGCGTGCCTTGACAACCATTATCCACGGTACGGAACACCAGATCCTTTCCCCAGCGTCGTAGCAGCAGCTTCACCTGGCAACATGATGCTTTCCTGTAACAGCGGGTTGCTCATTGGCTGAGGATTGCTCACAATTGAGCACATTTCTCCGGTTAGCGTGGAATGCATACGCATGCGGGCCGTGTTTGGGGTCAATCTGCTCGGTGTGCTTAGCATGCATGACCTTTCAATCTGACTAACGGAATGAATGGGAAATTACGATGTACTTTTTTGCTGATTCCATCATCTCGTAGCTCATCTATGTATAGGCTGGCTGGTGAGCAAGTTTGCGCAGGATATGGAGCAGTCTGCAAGTAAATGGATGCTTGACGCATCTAGATAGTTTCTAACCCTATGCGGAAGGGAGAGGGCATAACAGTGGAGAAGCAGAATTAGTAATAATAAATTAACTTTGGAATAACCATAGAATGAGGAGCTGAGATATCATCATCGAGGAAGTACATTAAGAAGAAGAGAGTAATTTGATTGAAACGATGAGATGCAACCTTATCGTTTGCATCCCTCATTCGGTCTAGCGTGGGTCCGTGACCACCACTGCGGTTTCTACTGCTGCAGCAACAACTGCATCTTCTGCTGCTGCATCCACAGCCTCTACTGTTGCGGTGGCTGCTTTGCCCATCTGGTTTGAATCCACCCCATTGCTGCTTCCCCACAGCAAATGATCTTTCAGCGCTTGATATCCTCCGCGGAGACTATCCGCTGCTATCCCCTTGGCCCGCAATACACTACTGGCTACCCGCGCGGTATCCCCATGGTAGCAGAGCATTAGCACCTGATGGCCACTCAACTTGCCAAGCACATCTGCATTGCTGAATAACGCTTCCAACTCCAGCCACTGTGCCTCCAGTACGTCTGCGTCGCTGAATGGCTTGGCTGTATGAGAGTCGAGACTGTGCAGGGGAATGTTTACCGATCCCGGGAGGTGCCAAGTGCCAAAGTCTCCCGCGGTCCTCAAATCCAACACGCAGCGCAGAGGCCGGAGCACCATAGCGCTCAAGGGGTGGGTTGAAAAGCATTGGGGTATTTCGTAATAGTCGGTGAACAGAACCACAGGACTTCTTTCCCAGCTCTCATCATAGCGGTAGAGATCAACGCCAACGAGGTTCTACAAGAACAACAGTCAGCATACCCGGGCTCCTCAATTCGATATACGTAGCTCGCCGACCTACCTGATTACGAATTGGAGGAAACCTCTCGGGCCCTAGCTTCTCGAAATAGTCGCCAACATATTGATAGGGCAGATCGAAGCATAAGAAGACACAGTGGATCGAACCATCTGGTCCCGCTAGTTGTCGCAAGGTGCCAGCCATCTTGCGTTTCTCCAGCATTTGATAAAGTCCCTTCAAACTCAAACCGGATGACGGCCCACAGACGACCCCTTCGCGACACAAGTCCAAGGATAACGAGAACGCGTCATATGAACTGACTTCTTCGTGCACATCCAGCGCTTCCCTCCAGGGAAACTCCTGTACCTGCATCAGGGCAAATGTCCGTGGTCCTGGAACCCGGTCCCCGGGCGCAGTGCACACTCCAAGCCGAAGCACAGATGGCTTGATTTCTTTGAAGTAGGTCCCTAATCCTGTCATCGTCCCCGAGGTCCCCATCCCGGCACAGAGTACGTTGATCTCTGGTAATTGCTTGAATATCTGAGGGCCAGTCCAGCGGATGTGCGCACGCCAATTGTCGTCATTGTCATACTGGTTGGGGTTAACAATCTCCTCAGACCCCATGGCCATCGCCCGAGCAGTCTGGATGCCCCCGCGTTCATCTAACGGGTCAGGTTGAGATGGGCCACCGAACAGGGTGACGTCCAGCCCGAAGAACTGCATCATCCGTAACTTAGTCTCGGTGGATTTGTTACTCAGGAAAGCCCTGGTGTCGCTAATACCATGCATCAATCGAGCGAGCATAGACATCGAGATGACTGTGGAACCTGAGCTGAATTCCACGATAGTCTTGGTCTTGCCAGGCACCACGGTTTTCTCGAGCAGGTTCATCGCTTGTTCCGTCAGTGCCAGGGCCAGGCACAAGGGAACTCTTGAGGGCCAACATACCTGGTATGGCTTTCACGTTGTTTGCCGGGTGCATTGTCATCATTTTGGCATAGATCCGTACCCCATCTTGGTGGAACGGGTTCAATCGATCGGGCAGCTCCACCAGAGGTAACGGAGGCTGGCAATCCGGATCAAAGTACTTCTTGAGCGCATCCGGTCCAAAGTACACATTGTGCTCGTTAATGTTGGCCATTATGTCAGATTATCAGTATTCACGGGAGTATTGACCGCAATATTGAGCCAACAATCACCCAGGGACGGGAGCATCAAATTATACGGCCCTGCTACAGAAACATGCAGCCACCCTCCCACGCACGACATGCTCTCTTTCCGGCGTGATCTTCGCATTCGGCGCATCGCTAGCGTCCCACTGAGCTTGGTTTGATGCACATCTTCAGGCCGCTTCAGGAAGGTCCGTGTCTCACGTTGAGCACTTATTCATAGGAGAGGGTTGGATTGGACTCCTATTCGTCGAAGACTGGCGCAAATGTGCTCAGATTGACGTTCTACGTATGCCTCTTGTTCAAGTAATTGAAGTTACTCTGAAAACAGCTCCGGACTCAAGGTCGCTGAAGTCGACTACGCTATACTGGGTTCTTACGCTCCGCGGCCTATCCTCTGTGACGGAACCCAACATTCCAAGGTTGTCATATGTAATAGCACCATGTTTAGGAAGAGGGGCACGTACCTCAAAATATCCGTAAGTCATAACGGCATAGTAGCTGCAACCTTATACGAAAGCACGAGGGCATTTGCGTTGATTTAGTCGATCCTTTCCCTTTTAGCCCTAACCGGCGTGGAGGTGGCCCTGACACGCAAGGAGCCGTCCGCTCCATGTACCTCTTTGCACCGCAACATTGTCGCTGCCGAGTTGGCCCTCCTTGAGTCAGTTTTACTTCATGGTCTTAGTTTGTTTTATTACGAATCCTCGCTTGCAAGCCCATAGCACCTTACAGCGATAACTAGGCTTAATCTTGTCAACTGACCCTCACTACTCCTGGATAGGCTCGCGTCCTCATCTCAGGACATTGACCTCAGCGAGAGATAAAATGCCTGCGACTTCAATTGAGGATGAAGTCAAGCATGATAATCCATCGACTGTCTCTCGAGATGTTACCACCGAGTCTAGCGGAGAAGAGAGCAGGCCAGCGGCACCACCGTCCTTCTTTAACGAGCAGACGAACTATGTGCCATTGAGCACGATCATCACGGTATCTTCCCTCACATGGACGGTCAACTATTAACAACCTATCTAACTTGACGCAGATATTCCTAGCATGCTCGACAGTTGACCTAGTAGCGGTCATGGACCAGACCACTCTAGCCGGGAGTCTATCCATAATCGGCAATACATTGGACGCCAGCAATAAAACCTCGTGGATATCAGGAGGATATTTCCTGTACGTCCAGCCCAGAAGCAAGACATGACTCTAGTTCACTAACTCCATGGAAAAGAACATCAACCTGCTTCCAACTTCTATACGGGCGACTCTCTGACATCTGGTCCCGAAAATACGTCCTATACGTAGGCCTCGCCATCATGTTCTTCGGTTCTCTAGCATCATCTCTCTCACAGACCGCCACGCAACTTATCGTCTTCCGCGCCTTCACCGGCATAGGCGGCGGCGGAATCACGTCCATCGCACAAATGATAGTCAGCGACGTCGTACCACTCCGCGAGCGAGGTAAATATCAAGGCATTCTCGGCGCCGTAATAGCAATCGCCAACGGCATCGGCCCTGTCATTGGGGGTGCTCTATCCCCGATCTCCCACAACTCGTGGAGATGGATCTTCCGGCTTATGCTGCCGCTCACGGCTATTTCAATTCTGGCAGTGATGTTCTTCATGCCTTTGCGGAAAGTCACCGGTGATTGGAAAGCGAAGCTGAAAGCCGTCGATTTTTTTGGCGTGTTTCTAGCACTCGGAGGCACGGCGGTACTTATGCTCGGATTGACCTGGGGCGGTGGCGAGTATGTCTGGAAATCGGCACACGTTCTAGCGACGCTCGTCGTAGGGTTTGCTGTGTGTGTGGTGTTTGTCCTATGGGAATGGAAGGGGCATCCGTATCCGCTGATACCTATGCATATATTCAAATCGCGCATCGTCAATGGAGCCTGTCTGACGATGTTCATCAATGGGTGGAATATCATAGTCATGCTGTATTACATCCCGACCTTCTATCAGCTTGTGTTCAATTACTCGACTACCAAGGCTGGTGCAATGGTTTTGCCCATCACATTGTTGCAAAGTACGTTGCCTCGCCCTATCTACCACCCCCTCTACTTTCCTATCCTATGCTCACACTAAACCCAAACTGCACCAGCCCTAAGCAGCACCCTCTCCGGCCTAGTCGTCCACTGGGTGGGCCGATATCGCGAATCCATCCTCATCGGCTGGATGATCTGGGCCATCGGACTAGGCCTGATGTCAACCCTAAACGAGACATCCAATCTGGGGAAACAGATAGGCTACGGCCTATTGACAGGTATAGGTTCAGGAAACACATTACAGCCGTGAGCCCCTCTACCCCTCATACATACCCCATAACAACCCACTTACAACCTGACCCACTGCAGTGCCCTAATCGCCGTCCAAGCCGGCGTCGCCAGACGAGACATGGCTATCGTAACCTCATTCCGAAAGTAAAATCCCCATCCATCCCCAACCCCATCCATCTAAACCCCCTCTATAACCCCACCACTAACACCTCCACCCCTTCAATAAAACAGCTTCATCCGCAACCTAGGCGGCACCCTCGGCCTCGCCGTATCCGGCACAATCATGTACGTATACATTCACCCACCTAGCCCCTATTCATCCACCAGAAGCACCACTAACAAAGGCGTAGAAACAACCTCCTCTCCACCACCATCAACACACTCCACCTAACCACATCCCAAAAACAATCCTTCCTTGCTAGCCCGTCCAATTACTTGTCCAAACTCCCCGAAGACGAAGCAGCAAAGGTTCGTGCGCTGCTTATCCCCGCGTACAAAAGGGGCTTCAGGATCGTTTTCACGGTGAATGCGGCGCTCGCGGCATTGGCGTTTTTCTTGGCCGTCGGGTTGATGCCACAGGTGGGGTTGGAGAGGGCGGATGATGAGCGGTTGAAGGAGGCGGGGAGGAGAGGTGAGCAGAGGGGAGATGGGGAGGATTAGTAGTTTTTTTTTTCTTTATGCGGGTAAGATAGAAGGGTATAGATGTAATTGGTGACACGGGGGGTGCGTGGTAGGCTAATTCTCGTGCTGCTGGTTTTAGTAAAGAAGTACCAAATCAAATAGACAAAAGTGAAGTGAAAAGTCATTCTTGAGAAGCCATTCATTTTGAGAAGTAGTAGTAGTAGTGTAACACCCGGAAAAGTTGAAAGCAGGTCGTTGATCATGTTCATCATCAAGCCAGTCCAATCCAATCAATCTAACTAGCTATGCTGCAGCAACATCAATTTAACCAATTAATCAATCAATCAATCGTTCAATCTGCTGTATGATTCTTTTAGGCCAGCCGAATCAACAATGCCCGAAACACCCCGAGACGCCTTAACACAGAAGGGAGTAAAAAAAAGAAGAGGGGGGCTAAAATTCATCAATCACTAGGACTCGTTCCACAACCCAGTCTACCAACGTCTGTCCCTCTATTCGCCATCGGCCATCCCGCCACACCTCATCCAGCCAGTAACTCATGCCCTTGCCGTGATGATGAAGGATCAACCCACCATTGCCGCGACTTTTACCCTCCGCTTTTGAGAAATCATTGTTCACGCGAAGAGTCCCGATGCCCACGCCGGTCGTGCCTTGACGAGCGTGCCATTCACGTTCGGCTTTCTCGCCGGCACGACGTGCCACGGCTTCTTCGTCTTCGTCTTGGTAGAGCTCGCATTTGTTGCATTCTGTGCAGGGCGAGCCGGGATCGATGCGAAAGTGCTCGCAGAAGTGCTTGTAGCCTTCCATTTCTTCGAATTCGTCGTCGTTGCCGGCTTCTTGTTCATCGTTTATGGCGTCCAGTCCGGCCGCGGGATCGACATTCTCGACGAGGTTGGCACGACGGCGTGGTCGAAGTCGTCCTAGTCGGTTTGCGGACTTGATCGGAGAACCAAGAGCCTTGCGGCAGAGGTAGCACATGGAATAGCCGCAGACGCAGGTCAGTTTGTTGCAGCCGGAGGACTTGACGAATGAGAGGCCGCAGCGCGGACAGGTGCGCTTGACAGCTGCAGTGCGAGCGGCCTCGACGGTGGCCCGGAGGTCGAGGAGAAGCGGTTCATGGCACACGTGAGGGTCACGCCATGGTTTCTGGCAGGTGATGCAGCTGACGCGTCGGCATGCGGGGTGCGCACAGGTGAATTTCTTGGGTCGGGTTTTGAGACAGAGGTTGAGGAGAGCGTTCTGAAAGATGATGAACACAGCAGAAGAGTTGACAAAATAAAGAATCGCTAGAGGAATGATAAGTAAGGGTATCAAGTCGAGTAAGAAGATAGTAATCAGAAGCGTAGAGAGGAACCCGTCGCGACGAAAGCGCCAAACAAGGCCTTGGGCAGACGGGTGGTAAACCGGATCAACTTCAGCGTATGAGCAAAACGGACACCGAATGAGCTTCAGCTGGGACTTGAGCAGAACCTCGGAGGACAGGCGCGTCTCGAACTTCGTAAAGGTCTCAGGTCCGGCCTTGTCAAGCAGGATAGCCTGCTTGACGATCGCTGGGTCCAAGATCCCGGGGCAGCTGTCGTGATCGAACGGCGCCAAACATTTCAATGTTGACTTTTCCACATCGACCGACTTACCCCAGCCTTGACCGAACAGAGCCTCGTGGATGGTTCGCCGGATGCAGCCATAGCAAATAATGTGCGTATTGTCCGAGCATGTTGAGATTTGCTCAAAAGTCACGTCGTCCAAACAGCACTCGCACTCATAAACAGCCTCAGCCTCCTTGGCTTCTGTCTCATTCAGCTCCTCCGCCAACTTTTGGTCTCTTTCTAGTCTCTCTTCCCGTCGGGTACGAAGCAGGGGTGCCAGCAAGGCTCGATACAGCTCCCGGTCCAACTCCGGGCACTCGGTCTTTTTCAGCCGCGGGATCATGTCACCATCCGGCTGACGCTGCCACACGATGAGTGGATGCTCGTTCTTATCTTTACCGCGCTTGAACGAAGGGAGAATGCTGTTGAAGGTCGCACGCCAGGTTCTCCGGGAAAGATCTTGCAGAGTTGGACGGGCTCGCAGATAAGAGAAATTCACTTCTGCCAGCACTGCCTCCACCGTACTCTTGCTGAGACCATTAAACTCCTTCGTGAGAGCCGCCTTCACGGCAGCTTTATATTCGTTTGTCCGGAATAGCTCATCAGGTGGGACCGCATGCTCATGTCCGGTATGTTGTTGTTGTAGATCATCTTTGCCATCTTCTTCCGTTCCCCCAGTCCCAGCTGGCACGTTCCATCGCCCGGCTACCCACGCCTCTTTGTGACGTAGCAACTGCTCGACGCAGACATGGAGACGGCTCTGCCCATCGAATCGGACCAGGAGCTCTCGGAAAACTTCGATGCGAATGTCGGGAAAGATTCGAGCGAGGGTCTGCAGAGCCTGGTTTAGCTCCTCCTGTTCTCGTTTCTGTTCCTCGGAGGAGGTATTCGAGGCGGCGAGGGAGCGAGATCGGGAGGTGATGCCGAAAGGATTATTGCGGAGAGCCTCGCTGATGGTTGTAGAGTTGCTGCTGTCGCTGGCACGAAGCGCGGAGGAGGTGGTGGATCTAGAAAAGCTAGGGACAGATAGGGAGAGCACCATCGTTGCACTGACGGAGGGGCGCAAGACCGAGCTTGCTACATGATCGTCGGAGGGTAGACGGGAAGGCGTCTGGCCAGAAGGAAGGGTATCTGGCGAGCGAAGTTAATTCCAGCTTAGTGTCAGGAAGCCAGAGGGATGGAAGAAGACGGCGTGGGATGGGGCGTGGGGGGGAGGGAAAGATGATGGGGTGATCTGTTGGATGGGAAGATGGGAAGATGATGGGAAGCGGAATGATGGAATGAATCAATCGGGAGGAGTTGACTTCCGTGACTTTTACTCCAAATGATCCAATCACGGGACTGGTTCAATGCTCCACCCAACCACTTCTCCGAATATACTTCAGCTAATAATGTACAACTATGTATGTATTGATAGCACAATGATGAGGCTATGCTGCATGCTAATTACCCGCGCCTGATCTGACAGCTTGAGTCTGATTTCTGCCTGGTAAGATAAATGCTGGCCCAGCAAAGCATACTTTTTAAACAGGCTTGACTAGGGGACTCTACAAGATACGTACTAATTGGCGTGTACTATTCATGTGGATGACATATTCCTGGAATACTCATGTTCGAAGTGGATTGAGATCACCCTTTTCATTCAAATGGATGCCTGGCATAAACACCTACTGGTGCCTGATCCAGCCTACCTTCTCATAGCCCATAGAATCAAAGTAATACAACCCACCGCAACAGCTTCCAACTACTCCAGTCACCCCATCATTCACAATGACACATGAGAACGAGAGCGTGCGACTAACACCATCAATAATCCCCGATCTTCCCAATTATGATGTTAAAGAATCATCATTCTTCAAAAGATGGGAACAATTACCTACTCCGGAAGAAGTGCAAGCACAAGCCAAAGCCCAGCATCTCGCTGGAATAAATATCTGTGATCGACTCCGTCAGCTCGAACAGGACCCGGAGGATACATTCGTCGGTACAGACATCGATTTCATCTATCCTGTGGGATACTAACCGTTCTTCATCATAGGCAACATCGCACAAAAACCCATCTACGACAGAAACTTCAGCATCAATCACCTACATGAAGCAGGCCCATTCCCCACCGTCCGCCAATTCCACGACTGGTTCAGATTCCTTCCCCGACGACGACGACGGATGTCGGATCCATACTCTGTGCCCATAGAACCATATCGCTATGGTCTTCCAGACCACTGTGCCATCAAATTCACGCATGGCGATCTCCATCGCAGTAACATCCTCATCACATCCTCTCCTCCATACCGTGTAATGGCAATCATCGACTGGGAGCAATCCGGCTGGCTACCTGCATACTGGGAAGTGCGCAAAGCGCAAATGTCAGCTTGGAATGGTGATGAATGGGCATCGGACTATCTTCCCACGATTCTGGATGGATTTGAATATACCGTGGATTCATGGTGGTGGTATATAGCCGCTTTGGGACCTTGACTATTCTGTTTCACTTGTGATGCATATACATTAGTATATCCAGGTAAGTTAAAACCAATAAATAGATAGACTAGTTAGCTATATTTATCACCAATAAGCGACTAAGTAGATTATGATACCCTCACTCCGATGCTGCTTGGGGTCCATTTAGGGTTTCTGGGGCTGCTTGTGGCAACACATATCAGTGACATGAATCCGACAATGCTTAACAGTTGACCTAGGTGAGGATGCATGTAGATCGCTTGTTCTTGACATCTACTACGCTGTGTACATGTATCATACGGGCTACTCGATGTATATTATTGGTTTCAAACAGAAAATGAATTCATGACATTATATGTACATACAGTCTGATAAATCACACCACTCCCCTGTTTTACAACTTGGCCTTGGCACCCTCCAACAGCTCGGCTCCAGCCCCCGTGATGGCAGGCTTGCCGGTGTCTACCACCGTGGTCTGGAAGATGACCACATTGCCCTCCTTCCACATCTCCGTGCGGAGGGTCTGACCGGGCAGCACCACACCAGAGAAGCGGACCTTAAGGTTCTTGAAGGCACCGTATGTGCTGAACACATGCTTGCCAGAGACACCCAGCGAGCAGAGACCGTGCAGGATAGGGGTCTTGAAGCCACCGACCTTGCTGAACTCGGGGTCGATGTGCAGAGGGTTGCGGTCACCGTTGAGGCGGTAGAGAGCGGCCTGGTCTTCCGAGGTCTTCTCCTCGACAACCGCATCGGGCTTGCGCTGAGGAGCCTTGTAGGGCGCCACGGCGGCCTTGGGGCGGGGGGCAGTGGGCTTGGGCGATCCGCCGAAGCCGCCACTGCCACGGATGAAGACGGTCGACTCGTTGTAGAAGAGATCCTCGCCGGTCTTCGCGTCCTTGGTGGTGTACCCGGAGACGACGAGGGCGGCGTTGCCCTTGTCCACGACATCGATGAGCTTGGGGTAGGTCAAGGTCTTGGCGGCGGTGGGAATGGGGAACTTGCGGACCTCCATGTACTGCTCGCCATGCAGCAACATCATGGGGGAGAAGTTGGCGACAATATCATCCATGTTCCAGGGGTTGGCGGTGTTGAACCAAGGGATCACACCGTATGTGGGCAGAGCCTGGAAGTGCTCGTTGTTCTCGTATACCAAGGGAAGATCGGTGCGCTTAGCGCCGACACTGAGGTTGTAGAGGATGACATCCCGGTCCTCGTAGTCGAAGGAGGTTCCGTCAGTGGTGGCCTGCTTGGCCTTTTCGATGGCCTGCAGGATGTTGTTGCCACCCTCCGAGTCACCACCGCTGCGGTTGCTCATGTTGGCCATGATCTTCTCGGAACCGGCCTGGCCATCCTCAGGGTGGTCCGCACGGCCATCGTCGAAGTTGGTGATCTTCTGCCAGTGCTTGAGCACTTCCTCAGGGGTAAGCTTAACGTCGACGGGGAATCCGTGACCGCCGGTACGCTGCCAGCGAGTGCGGCCGAACCAGCCGCTGCCACACTCGTACAGACCCTTGGTGCTGGGCTCAGGCACAATGTCCGAGCACAGAAGAGCCACCAGGGGAGCAACGTAGTCAGGCTTGAACGCCTGAACCATCTCCTCGGGCATGATGGTACGGGTCATGTTGGTACCAGCATTGGGGGCAATGGTGTTGACCTTGATGTTGTATTTAGCACCCTCAAGAGCAAGAGTGCGGGAGAAACCAAGGATTCCGAGTTTCTAAAGACAATTAGTGGAAAGGCATTAAGAAAATCAGTATTGGCAGGAACATACCGCGGCGGCATAGTTGGCCTGTCCAAAGTTTCCGTAGATACCGCTGGTGCTGGCCGTGTTGACAATGCGACCATACTTCTGCTTAAGCATGTAGGGCCAGGCAGCCTTGGTCACCTTGTAGGTGCCGCGCAGGTGGACATTGAGGACAGGGTTCCACAGGTCGTCGTTCATGTTGGTGAAAGCCTTGTCACGCAAGATACCAGCGTTGTTGATCAGGATATCAATCCGGCCAAAGGTATCAATGGCGGTCTTGACGACATTTTCGCCATCTTCGCAAGATGCCTTGTTGCCAACAGCCTGGCCGCCCATCTTCTTGATCTCCTGGACAACGGGCTCGGGGTCGACGAGATCGTTCACAACGACGGCAGCGCCATATTTGGCAAAGAGCAGACAGTAGGCACGACCAAGTCTATTGAGGACGTTAGAATCGATAGATAGCCATCATTTATCTGCAGTAATACATACCCGTTGCCACCACCAGTGACCAGAGCAACCTTGCCCTTGAAGTTGGGCTCCTCACCCGCTTGGGCGCTGGGCAACTTCAAGCCATCTTCCAAGAGACCCATAAAGTCAGCAGGTCCGGTGGGGTAGTCCGGCTTGGAGAAGTCGTTGACATCGTTCCATTTCCGAGCAATAGCACCGGGCGTCAAAGAAGCATCGGTCTTCAGAAGAGCACCCTTGGCACGTTCCCAGCGCAGCTTAGCGACGTGTCCACCACCGACTTCGTAGATTCCACCAGTCTCAGTGGTGTTGGATGAGTGGACCAAAGCAGCCACCAATGGGACAACCCAGTCGGGCTTGAGGTTCTCCAGGACCTCGGGGGGCATGACGGTGGCCGTCATACGGCTAGCAGCTGTTTCACATTAGCCACTGCATCTCCAGGGGACCCGAATCAACATACCAATTGGCGCGATGACGTTCGCAATGATGTTGTACTTGGCACCTTCCTTCGCCAGCGTCTCGGTGAAGCCGACCTGTCCGAGTTTGGCAGCTTATATAGTCAGCTAAACAGCTTCTAACCTCCGAGCATACCCAAGCTTACCAGAGTAGTTTGCCTGGCCGAAGCTACCGAACAGACCAGCCGAAGAAGCAGTGTTGATGATGCGGCCATACTTTTGTTTCCGGAAGTGAGGCCATGCGGCTCTTGCGCACTGTAGACAAAAGCCCCGCGTCAGCAACCACTTGAAGGCAGAGGCGAACGCATCCTGCCTACCTTGTATGCGCCATATGTGTGCACTCTGTAGATAAGGTCCCAGTCCTGATCTTTCATGTTCTTGAAACTGATATCCCGGAGGATACCGGCGTTGTTGAGAAGGACATCGATGCGGCCAAAGTTCTTGATGGCGGTTTCAATGATGGCTTCGCCGTTCTCGACACTGTCGTAGTTTGCTACTGCCTTGCCGCCAGCAGCTCTGATTTCATCGACAACCACATCGGCAGCCTAGAAGAGACACCGGGGGTCAGCGGGAAAAGAGTCTGTGTAAGAATAGACACAACCTACCTTGGCCGACTTGCCCTCACCAGAATGAGAGCCACCCAGGTCGTTGACAACGACGTTTGCACCTCTTGAAGCAAAGAAGAGGGCATATGCCTTACCCAGGCCACCACCAGCACCGGTGACAACCACGGTTTGGTTGTCGAAGCGCAGCTCAGACATGTTGAATAATCAATGTGAGGAGGAGAGGAGGGGAGGTGGAGAGATGGGGAGATTAGAGGGAGAGGACAGAAATGCGAAATGAGGAGAAGAGACGGGGTATTATATGAAAGTTAGTTGAAGAGAGAGGAGAAGCTTAGGGGGACTTGGTCTGGGGGAGGGAAGAGATGAAGAATCCGGGGGAAGAGGACGGTCGCAATGCTCGGCAAGCTGGACCAGGGAACCTCGGCATCTTTTGCAGGTGAAGCTCGGAGGTTTGGTCGTTTGGCGCTAAACCGATCGGGGGGTGGCAGATGATGCTGCCTTCACATGCCGATGTCCACTTCCACGATAATCATTCTACGGCATGATTAGTATACACACTAACTCTCAAAAGACAGAATTATTGAAGCAAGGTATTCCTCCCATGGTTATTCATTCTACAAAATTGGGGTCTTCTTCCTAAACTTTCCTCAACTTCCACCCGGTTGCCAAGATACTCCGAAGCTATTATCCCGGTTATGTTGACTGACACCTTTCTTTGTCTACGGACTATCACCATGATATGATATTCTTCATACGATCCAATTAGACTTATTCAGTCTAAAAAAGAACTCACTATAAGAGAAAGACCTAGATCGACAACTCTGATCATGTCTGCCACCACCAACATCATCATCAACTTCCTGCTGACTCAGACATGTGATTCTCAGCCAACGTCATGCCCACGTGCTGCTATTCCCTTTATCCTCTTCACATTCATCTCGAAGTTTAATAACATTCCATACCTGCCAGATGCTATTCATGAGGCATACCGCAACTTCCCATGGACTACAAGTGGTGCAGTATGCCCATAGAGATGATGCCGGCCAATCCTTCAGGCAATACATTTGTCCTCCGCAGAATCACCCGCTCGGATCACCTCCGAAGCTTAGTCTACCTTAGCAGTATATCATATCACTGTAGCCACCAGAATATACTACCTACACATAAAACAAATCTATTACTACTATCTCATTCTCCCATAAAAGCACCAAATAAGATACAATTTCCCACAATGCCCGAAATAATCGACGATAAATCCCAACACTGCATCCCCTTCCTCCTTGAACGACTCCAAGCCCACCAAGCCCGCCATCCCACCAACACCCCGCCTTTCTTCCTCGGTCTAAATGGCGTGCAGGGGGCCGGTAAAACAGTCCTGGTATGACCCCCTTCCTCCTAATAATAATTCCGCTCTATTACTCTCTATGAAAACAATCAGTTCACTAACGATTAATCAAATGGGGGCAAAAAGGTCTCAACCCTCCAATCCACCCTCCGCTCCCCACCCTACTCCCTCAACGTGGTAACCCTCTCCCTCGACGACCTATACCTCACACACTCGCAACAAGAGCACCTCGCCGCCTCGCACCCCTCAAACCCGCTCCTCCAGCATCGCGGACAACCCGGCACCCATGACCTGACTCTAGCGAAGGAAGTGTTCTCGGCGTTGCGCGCGGGCCAGCGCACCGCCGTCCCGGCGTACGATAAGTCGGCGTTTTCCGGACAGGGCGATCGCGTGCCTCCGTCGCAGTGGGAGGTGGTGAATAAGGAGGGTGAAGAGAAGGTGAAAGTGGTGATTTTTGAGGGGTGGTGTGTTGGGTTTCGCGCGTGGGATGAGGAGGTGCTTAGGGGGAAGTGGGGGGATGCGGTTCGATTGAAGGAAGCCGCTGCTGCTGGCCAGGGTGAGTATAAGGGGAGATTGGGACATGTGGAGTTTGAGGATGTCAAGACGGTTAATGAGGCGTTGAGGGGGTATGATGTGATTACTGAGTAAGTTTCGTCTGTCTCTGTTGAGAAGGATGGCGGCTAATAATGGTGATGATTGCAGTCAGTTGGATGCGCTGATTCATATGTGAGTGGCTTATGCCAGCTTCTAAAAGAGTTTATCTCGAGATGCTAATTGATAATGCAGCGATGCGCAAGACCTCCATTTCGTCTATGACTGGCGACAGGAGCAAGAGAGGACCCTTCGCGCTGCTAAGGGGACTGGTATGACGGAGGAACAAGTCACCAAGTTTGTTGATGGCTGTGAGTATCACTTGTGGGCTAAACAGTATTATCCAGATGGGGAAATTCTGACCGAAGATACAGACTATCCCTCCTATGAACTCTTCACTGAAACTCTCCGGGAGGGTACATTCAAGCCTGTGCCTCATGCTACTACGGCATCTGCTCCGCCAACAGGCTGGGAGGGGAGACAGCTTCGATTGGTTGTGGATAAGAATAGGAGAGTGCAGGAGGTTATCAACATCTAGGTGCTGATTGTTTATTTTCGCGTCCTTGAAGTCTAAATCGCAAGGGTTTAGATGTACATATATTGACACAGATAGATCATCTACTACTATCCATACTAGTGAGCGTTACCTATTCACGAAAATTAGAAACAGACTTGAACCAAGCCAATACTTACATAGTCTTTGGAAGAAAAGAAAGGATACTACGCTAATTGTATACATTATACTAGAACGCCATGTTACTGTTCTCCGTACTAGGGAAGCAATATATACCACCACAATCCTCCTTCATACTACAGATCCAAAACTCGTACCACCCCCCCACCGACTAAAAGAACTACAAGAATATAGAATCGAAGATAATAAGCAATTCAATCAAATATCCAACTCCAACTCGACAACATCCTACAATATTGTCCCTCACTGACTGGCGACAATTTTCTGCCACCCTACCCAAAGGCGGTAAAGAAGTATACAGAATTCAGACTCACTTTTCCGGGGCTGTACAAAACACATATCCGTTGATAGCCGCATATATCCGCACTTTTCTCTGCGAGGTCGAAAGGATTCTGCCGGTTTTAGCGGTCAACGAGGCGGTCGGCAGTGGCAGTTATTTGCTTCCCAGCTCCCACAAAGGCAAGCAGCGGTTGCAAGTAGAAGTTTGAGGCGGCGTGCGACATTTATGGTTGAGGGCGGGATGGATCCTACAGGACAGAAACAACTACATTTCAAATACAAAGGAATAAAAGTCAGGTTGTACGAAGCTTTTTAGATTTTTGTAACCCAGATTTTAGACAAGTAACCCGCTAACTAGGAAATTTCGGAGCTCATAACAACCCGGTACGGACAAGCCCATCACCGATGATGATGATGAATCTAGTTCATCTGGCGGATGAGGCCGTTGATGTTCTCCTCACGGTTACCGTAGTCACCACCCTCGATGAAGTGCTTGAACTTGCGGGTGTGGAAGCCACCAGTGGGGTTGGAGAGCTTGAAGGGCCACAGGAAGTTGTTGGCCTGCTTGAAGTTGGGGCCAACGGTGTAGATCTCATGGATCAGATCCTCCATGCAGACAATGCCGTACTTGCCGAGGTTCTCCTCAATGATCTGGTTGTCAGTGAGGGGAACACGCTGCTTGTCGACCTTTCCGTAACCGCGCTTGTAGACGAGCTCACGGACGGACTTGAGGTTGGGGTAACCGTAGGCAATGTAGGGGTTGATGATGGTCAACATCTCCTGGGTAGCCTTGGTAAGACGGACGAAGGTACCGTTGTTGATCTGGAGCAGACGGAGCAGCTGGAGGATCTTGCGGGGCTGGGGAGGGATCTTGTTGATACTATAACGAGCTGTTAATATCGTGTAATGCTGACAGTGATGATGGTTTAACTTACCCCTTGATACGGATAACGAAGACAAGCTTGGGCTCGTCAGCAACGTAGAAGTTACCCTCCTTGCGAGCAACGCGGGCAAGGCGGATCTTCTCGCGCTCAGCATCGCGGTACTCCTTGACGTAGGACTCGGCACGCTTGAAGATGACGGCGCGCTTCTCCTTGTTGGCCTGGATTCATCTGTTAGCAGATGGTCTTGACAAATGACTCGTGAAATAACAATCATTTGAAGCTTCTTTTTCAGCCCCGAAAGATGGTTAACGAAGCGACAGCATCGACCGTAGTCTAGTCGCGTAGTGGTTGTTGTCATCACTATAGAAGGAAGAGGGAAAGGGAATAGGAAAAAAAAATGGTATAAACTTACGGCCTTCTTCTTCTCGGCCTCCTCACGGGCGACAGCGCGAGCCTGCTCCTGGCTCTTGCGCTTCTTCAGGAGGGTCTCGGGGACGAGAACCTGCTCCTTGGTGGGGACAGTGCTGTTAAGGTCAGTACAGTCTGTCCGCAGTGATTACACAGACTTTCGCCGAGTGTAAGAATTGCAGCTATAGTGCCACATTCTCATACTGAAGGCATAGGATAAAAAAAGCACTCGACGACATCCATTTAATCGGTGAGGTAGGAAAAGAAAGATTTTTTCCTTCACTTGTCGAGCCCGCGCGGTCCAGCTCACTACTAGTCACGCATTTTCAGCAGCAACTTTCGCAAGCCGGCGGTGACTTCAACCAAGTATGATAATCCTCATCCGACAAAACCCCAAGCATAACGCTCGGGAAGTGGTGTTGACGCTTTTCGCCCATACCATGCCCTATCACGGCGCAATGGTACAAGACGATAGCTCACAACAATTGTTTTCAAGGAGAAGGTTCACAGTGCCTTCAACCTCAATACCCCAGACCGTGCCGACACCCAATCCTCATATTCCTAACGCAATTTTAGGCGATTCAGGGGCGAGGCTCGGTCGCGGGAAAAATCGAGCTGGTGCTCAGCAACCGTTTTCAGGTCGCAGCATCTCCAGCGAGAAAGGACGACTATATCTGTAACCCTCACAAGCACCTCGAGCGATCAGCCGCAGGGGAATCTCAAAGGGAGTCTCACGTAGCAGTGGAGGCCATTGTGACGGTCCGTAGAGTTCGCGAGTTGGGCGGTTGGCGAAGGCTGTCGTACTGGAAGAAGATCGAAAGGAAGAAAAAAGCCGCTGCGAATCGAGAAAAATGGGTTGTGTGGGTGGATACCCCCGCTAAGCCGCATACGGCTAGCCATACTGGCTGGCCCATTTGTTCCTTTTAGGATTCTTCAAGCCCTTATCGCTATCAGGGTATCCGCTGGTCAGGTGACAATCACTGATAAGAGCCAATGGCAGTATGACCGCATCTATCTAGCGCTCTCGTGGTTACCCCACGCGCTCCGATAATTGAACACTCCTCAAGAGCAGACACCTGATCGCTATGGCTACTCGTCGAGGAGTTGGACTCGGCGCCTTCGCCAATCGCACCCAAGCCAGCCAGTCATTTGCGAACCATGGCGCCAATCTACGCTCCTCGCATCTCTCCTCTTTACAGACGCAACTGTCTGTATTCCAGTCATTACTCCACACCTTCGCGCTGGAACACAGCTCCACGATCAAGTCGAACCCGACGTTTAGAGCGGAGTTTGCCCGCATGTGCAATGCCATAGGAGTCGATCCCCTCGCAGCCAGCAATGTTAAAGGAAAGAATGCGCGAAAAGGGTTAGGGGAGATTGGCAGCTTCTGGACGCAGATTATGGGTGGGGATATGAATGACTTCTACTTTGAGGTCGCTGTCAGAGTGGTGGAACTTTGTCGCGCTACGCGAAGCGAAAACGGTGGGTTAATAGGTGTTGAGGAGTGTCGGAAACGAGTAGGCAAGGGGAAGGCTATTGGTAGTGGACTGGAGGTTACAGAGTACGTACTCGCTCATCCTTTGCTCTACCCATAACGAGTGACACAGTAGCTGACATGCGATGTGCAGTGACGATGTTCTCCGAGCTGTCAAGAGTCTGGAACCCCTAGGCTCTGGATTCTCGATTGTACATGTTGGCAGCAAGCAATATATTCGATCGATTCCCAAGGAGCTAAACACTGATCAGGCTACAGTCCTCGAAGCTATTCAGGTTCTTGGATACGTAAGCATCTCTATGCTTCAAGCGAATCTGAACTGGGAGAAGGCTCGAGCGCAGACTGTCATTGATGATCTACTGGCGGATGGCCTTGTCTGGCTGGATGCTCAAGCGGAGGAAAATGAGTATTGGTCACCTCAAAACCTGCTAGATGACAGTGGGTGAGCATGCTTTGCCGAAGGCTACTGCTGTTTGATATCATGATATATTCAGGGACAATCTTGGGCGTTGGGGCTGGCGCAAGTGTCCAGCGGGTACTGGATGCAAGAAGATATATACTAATAGTTGCTCTTGTCTGGGGACATACTAAGAATGGAAGGGGCAAGCAGAGTTCCAAGATGGAGTGGCTTTATTCCGAGGCTGCTATGGATTCCTCCCCGTCATGTCATACTATATATCATACTCAAGCCTGCTGAGAATCGTGACTGGTGGACTATTAAGAGGTGCTAAAGCGACCACCCTAGCTTGTCTTTGATCTACCGAGGAATGCTTGAGATCAGAGCTACGATCTGTACATCTGGTTAAAGCGTTAGCGTGCATTGATTTTCAACCTTTGATACATAATCTAGACTTTTCAGGCTCTGTATGTCCATCGTTCATTCCAAACGTGATATTCATCTGCGGAGAGTAGAAATACGGTATGCATGACAGTAGAACTCTAAGTAGGAAAAGGGCTAGAGTGGCCCAACGGAAAAAAAAGTTGAAAGAGGAAAAAAAGAACCATGATGGGTAAGAGCACACATGGAATCATACGCAGTTTAAATTCCAAGAAAAGGGAGCATTAGAACCATGAAAAAAGAAATCAATGCCATTAGAGATCATTTTTATGCCTTGATCGCTCCGCCCAATGCACCACCGCCAAACTGCTGTCCACCAGGCCGACGACCTTGTTGGCCACCAGGGAATCTGGGACCACCACGGGCTTGGCCACCACCTCGAGGACCACGGCCACCACGGGCGCCGGCGCCCTGATCGCGCTGGAAGGCGTTGGCCATGCCTTGCGTACGCTGCTCGAGAGTCTTCTCGTTGGACTCCAGAAGGTTCATCGACTTGTCGGCGAGGGTAACGATCTGGGACTGGAGACGGGACAGCTCAACACCCTTGCGGAAGACAATGGCGTCGTTGACCTGGTCGAGAGCAGCGGCCAGTTCCTCGTGAGAGATCATACGGCTGATGATAGCAGCGATCTTCTTCTCGGGGAGCTCGAACATGGTAGACAGGGTGGAGATGGAGAGGCTGTCGTAGAAGGGGGCGTAGGTGAAGAGGTAGGTGCGGAGACCCTCCTCCTGGATCTGCTGGGACAGCATCTCCTTGACCTTGTCGGGCTGGGGCATCAGATCCCAGATCTTGATCGAGTTGAGCATCTCAGCGGCCTTCTTCCAGTCACCCGCGGCAAGGAACTTGGCACTCATGATGACACCGTCACGGGTATTCTCAGCAGGACCAGTGAAGACCTGGCGCTCGTTGTAGTCCAGCATACGACGGAAGGTCTTGGAGATGACACGACGCTTCATCTCGGGGGAGGAAGAAGTCTGAGCCATCAGAGGAACCTCCAGGAACATGCTCGACGTGAGGTAGATGCACTCGAGGAGCTCGAGGTTGATGTGCATGTGGAAGGGCAGCTGACGCTGACGCTCCAGACGCTCCTGTTCAGGCGAGACGGTGGAGTAGCGCTGAAGGATGATGCCCTGAGCCAACAGCTCTTTCTGACGTCCACTGCCGCAGACCTCGGAGAGGGTGTTCTGGGCCTCGTAGATCAGGCCAGCACGGAAGGCACACAGACCGATCTGAACAAGGGTGCGGTTGAAGAGGATTTGGGTGGAAACGTCGAAGTTGGCAATGTTCTCGGTAAGGTGGGACATGAGCATCAGGTCACGAGAGCGGTAGTACTGGTCGTGCAGAGCAAGGAAGTAGATCTGGCACAGCATGGCACGAGCACGGATGATACCGTCGCTGTGCTTGAACAGGTAACTGCAAAGGGTCTGCACAAGGTTGGTCACATCGCCGGTGTTGCCACGAGGAGTGATGTTGGTGTCCAGCTCGGAGGGAAGGACCTTCCAGGTACCCTCCTCCAGGATCGTGACGACCTGAGAAGGCTTGAAGTAGATGTGCTCCAGTCTCCTCATGACCACGCGGTTAAGGCTGTCCTGGCGGGGATCGGTCTTCTCGGACTGAGTAAGACCCTCGACGTAGGCCTGGGTGCGGACAAGGTTGGCGTACAGCTGCTTCTCGTCACCCAGACGGTCGATGTACTCGGCAGTGTGGGGGTCGATGTGCTGCAGGGAACGGGTGAGCTCATCATCCAGTCTCTCGACGTACGAGACGATGCTGCCGGGGATGTGAAGGACCTCGCCGGGGGCGGGGGTGGGCTGCTTCTCATCATCCTCCCACTCCTCAGCACCCTCGGTCACGACATAGGTGCGGTTGTTCTCGAGAACGGACAGCAGGGTAGCGAACTCCTGCTCGGCGAACTTCCACTGATCGACGGCCATGTAGTTGCTGGTGGAGGAAGAGGTGAGATCGAAGCGGGTGGAGATCATGGTCAAGTAGATGCGGATACGCTGGTAAGGGGTCTGAGCAACCTCCAACAGCTTCTCCATCGTGCGGATCTGCTCCAGACGGTCGGTGTTCTTCTTTCCGCGGGATTCGACGATAACACGGAGGTGCTTCAGGATGCTCTCGGGGGTGTACTGGAGGGTCTTGCCGCCACGGCCGACGGTCGCGAAACCATCGTCATCACCGGCGGTGGAAAGAACAGGGGCTTCGATACGCTCGATCTTGGTCAGGCGAGGGGCGGCGGCGACGGGACGGGCCACTTCCTCCTTGGCTTCCATGAAGCCATCCTTGTTCTGCCTGTACTTGTCGATCTGAGCGGCGTAGTCCTTGTTGTTCTTCTTGATACGCTGCTTAACAGCGTTGAATCCCTTGGCGTTGCTGGCGTTCATCTTCTTGTTGCTCGACTTCTGCTTCGAGATGGTCTCGTTGACGAAATCCTCCAGGTCCGCAACAGTCTTGACGTAGATCTTGGGGGTGGGGCCAGACTGGACAATCTTGACGATTTGCCGGTTCAGCTTGTCGAACTCTAGAAAACGGATGTTAGTATCAAAAACCCATCCTTCCCTCCGCTGCCGATTCCGCAATTCCATCCTCTGATATCAGGGCCAAACGCACCTGTCGAGATGACCGCCCAATCGCTGATCTTCTCGGCATTTTCGATCAACTTGACGGTGTTTTCGAGTTCCTCCAACCGTTTGTCCTTGGCACTCTTGACGATAGTTACTCGTTCCTCATCTTCGCTCTCTTCGCTTTCGGAGACATTCTTCATGAAACGGTTCGCACCGGTCTTGCCGGCATCCTCGTCATCGGACGAGGACTCCTCCTCCTCAGACTCTTCCTCGCTGGACTCCTCCTCGGACTGCTCCTCCTCCTCGCGATCACTGTAGAGCTCCTCCTCGTCAGAGGAGCTGGACTCGCTGTCGCTACCGCCACCGTAGAAGAAACGCGACATGTTTGCGGATATTATTCAGACGCTGGAGATCGGGAAAGTCGCGAAAATCGAGGAACGGCGGTCTCAGTCGTCGCCGGGGGGATAACACGCAGGTTGGTAAGGCGGATCGGGCTGGTTCTTTTGCCTGGCAGGAAAATCCGTTGTGAGGGTTCCGAGCCGCAGAGGTTGGGCGGCGCGAGTCACACACGAAATTTAAGCGAGGCGGCGCCTAACCACAACAGGCAGGCGGCCAGTCTCCGGGACGCGGATGCCTTTGTTCTTTTTCCCCTCTCAACTCCAGATCTCAATGGATTCTGTTTTGGTTTATTTCACTGATGGGACCCTGTCAGTTCAAGATCCACGGCCTACATACATTGCGGAGATTCGGGCGCAGAGACCAGACGCAAACTATAGCGTTTTCCCGGCTTATTGGAGTTCCACCACGCTTCCCGTGTTCGATTTGTCGCCTTCGTTCACTTCACCCGCCAATCTACTACTACCACACCACACCCACTCGCCCCCCGTGGGGAAGAGAAAAAAGAGCAAGCAGCCTAGCTTTTCCAGCCCATCTAAACTCGGGCCTCATATCTCATATTTTACTATCCAAGTTACAGTCATGTTGCTCTTTGAATCGTGCAAAAAGGGACGGAACTAACAAAAAGGACATGTCTTGCATAGCACATAACAGGTGGGATCTCCGTGCAAATATTTGGGTAGAAGGAAATGAAAAATTCAAGAATCAACATAAATCACCTCTTTCCGAGTACTCCTGGCTATGCCGAAAACAGCCACATACAGGAACCTAGGAGAATTGACAGGGGAAAAGGAATAAATGAGGATGAGCATTGGGAAGCACTGCAGCGCTCAACTATAGGGAAAGGAGCACCTGTCCACCGTAGCGTGCTGCTGTAGCTTGACGAGCAGGCCATCCGTGTTTGCCGCCACGGCGGAGCTCTGAAGTTTAAAAATATCCCTTGGGAACTTACGCTGCCTGTCACGTAGGGGACTTTTATCTGTCCCATGCCTAACAACAAGGCAAACCGGCTGTCACAGGACTTTCATGGAGACAGAACTCACACGTACCAAGGACCTATTCAGGTCTCGAGGAAAGCTGATGGTAATGAGCTTAAAACCAAGCAGGCTCTCAAATACCAGGAAGGAGGCCATTTGAATGTAGCTCTGCGTCTAGCTTCTGGCGATGGACGCGTAAAGGAGCACACACTTGCCTATACAGAAGAGAAAATGGCTTGTCCGTCAGGCCGATGAACATCCATGTGCCATCGGCCTGTTCCTGGGTATGCATGCTCTCAATGCCACTGGTTTTGGCCCATAAAGCCTTCGCCTCCCAATACCCCATCCTCAAGGGTTCGAATGAAGTCGCGGTTTCTTGTACCGCCCGTACGGCTTCCTCGTCGCCTCTGACCAGCGGAGTTGGGGTCGACATATCCATCTGGAGGTGGTGGGTAATATGCCGGACTAGGCTGTAACCGAATAGGTGCATTGGGATCGAGGTGGCTGGCCACGCGCTGTATTGTTGGCGGGATACCTCCCCCCTGAGGGTCCATGGTAGATGCCCGTTGCCGCCCAGCCCTTGTCGTTGCTTGCGCGTAGAGGCTCTGGGATGGCGCGTACTGTGCTTGGGGCACTTGGCCGGGTATGAGATTCATCTGATGACCGTAGGCCGGTGGCTGAGTAGGGTAGGGCGGAGGGGCACCTTGCTGGTGACCAGTGAACATTCCATTGTACATTGGCGGCGGCTGGGCATGCGTGGGTGTGTGGAACTGATTCAACTGCATAGCGTAGGCATTCTGTGCGGCTGACTGGGCGTGGGCTGCTTGCGCGGCCCTCTGCTTGCTGGCAGCTTCGGCCTGCTGCTGCTGTTGAATTCCGGGAGCAACAGTCTTGTTCAGCGATGAGTACTTCAGGTTCATCGGGGGCATGAAAGGCCCCGTGAACTTCTGTTGCGTGATGAAAGGATGCAGTTTGGCCTGTTGGGGCGACCAACGTTCAAGGGGATTGATGGCCAATAAGCCACGAACGAAGTCAATGAAAGCTACTCGGTTGTTCAATTCTAATGATAATGGTTAGCAGATGTATGTGTGGGGGGTATCGAATATAACCTACCTCGTTCAATCTCTGCTTGTTTCATATTCTTTCTCGGCATCGGGTAGCTGCGGATGATTTCTTCCAGGGTCGACGCTTGGAAGTACTTTTTGCTTGGCTGCTCTTTCGTGTTATGCTCCCGAGAGTATTGCTCTAGACTCTTAAGGCGATATGTCTTGCGACCAAACTCGTCCTGAGTCTTCTCGAAGAATTCACCTGACTGCTTGCCCATCTCCAGCATCCATGTTGGCGGCAGGCCGAGCATTTCCACAATGCGGCAGACTTGGTTGTATTCAGAAGAACCAGGGAAGAGCGGCAACCCCAGGAATAACTCGACGACAATGCAACCAAGAGACCACATGTCTATCGCGGATGAGTAGCTAAAGGTGTGTTAGTTAAGCCGTGCATAGAGAAAAGGATGACATGTCGAGGCGGGGCCTCAGGGATGCGCGTACGGTAAGCCAAGAAGGACCTCTGGTGAGCGGTAAAACCTAGACTGGATATAGGTATAGACTGTCTGTCGCTCGTCACAGGCTGAACCAAAGTCGATGACTTTGATGATGGGGCTCTCGAGACTGCAATGGAGCAAAGTTAGCATAGCAAACTCGAAGGTAGTTTGTAGGGGTTGCTGACTTCTTTAATAGAATATTTTCCGGCTTCAGATCGCAGTGAATCAAGTGTGCCTTATTCAAAAGGCTCAATGCATTCAAAAGTTGCTGAGCAAATACGCGTACTAATGTCGTGCTCAAGCCCCGGAACTGGTTCTGCTTGATCAGTTCGTAAAGATTGACGCTCAACAGTTCGAAAACTAAGCACAGGTGCTGTCGGTGGATGAAAGTATCCTTCAGGCGGAGCAAGTGGTGGTCGTCATTTTTGTCGTATCTGCTGTTGAGCTGCGACGGTTGTGAGAAAAGGTGCAATAAATTCGACCCGCAGAGGTAGGGACGCTTACCAAGTCCAAGACCGACACCTCCATCATACTTTGGTTGAAATACGCAGTCTTGTTCTTGATGACCTTGACAGCTACAACCTCTCCGGTTTTTAAATTTTGGCACTTGACGACTTGACCGAAGGTTCCTTGGCCCAGCACATCAAGAATAAGGTAACGGTTCCTAAACGCGATTAGCTTAAATCCCAGAGGAACTTCAGTGGAGCACGCTGTAGGGCTAGACGTACTTGTGGCCGGCTTCCTCGCTGCCCAATATGTCGTTAACATAGAGAATATAGTCACTATCCTCATTATCGTAACCATCGTTTTTCACGCCTTTACTGGGCTTGGTAAGGACACGCCTCGGGTTCCGGGACGATTCATAGTTGAAGCCCGGGTTGCATATTCGATAAGTGGCGGGGAGATGTGTTGTTAACGCTTGCAGAGGCTGTACACATGTTAGCAAATGCCTATCCCACAGCCTTTGAATTCCATGTGCTTACGCTGATGAAACCACCATCAGGATTGGCGCGTCTGTAAGGTGGCTGCGCATTCGTGCGTGGCTGAAGTTCCTGGATTGACTTGATCTTCTGGAACTTCGGAACAGGGCCTCGGCCTGGCTGCTGGCTTCCACCGGATATCGACGCAGAGCGCGGCGACCTTCCATCTTGTGCAAATGCGGCGTTGAGCTGCGAGCCCGCCGAGGGCGGATAGTACTGATCAGGGCTCATGTCGGTGGGCTGAAGCGGGGGGAGTCTAGGGGGACGTGACGCAGCTGTCGGGAAAGGTGTTAGCTGTTATACTTTCAAAACCGGAATACCTCGCAAGCGTTGATACTCACAGGGTGGTGATTGGAACGCCTGAGGTGGCGAGGCGTAGGTTGAACCTCTTGTCGGCGACCGCCGTGGTTGATTCGGCCCGGGCGGGAAAGCATACGAGTTATGCGATTTCCCAGGGCTCGCATTGAACGACATGGACGGAGACAAGACATTCATAGGAGAGTACCTGCGAGCAGCTGAGGACTCTTCGCTTGGGAAGTATTGTGATGACGGTCGGCTATGATGGGTCGGTCTTGTCGAGTACTTGGCCCGGTTGTACGGATCCGCATCCTCCATCGTGGTGTCCGCATCGGTGACATAATCCCGACTACGTGGCGTCGCAGCAGGAGACGAAGCCATCGAGACAGTTCTGGAATTCGCACCGATCGAAGATGGTTTGGCGGTGGTGCCAGGAGACTGGAAGGGTTCGTAGGTGTAGCCCACCGGCGGCTGCGAGTGCTGTGGCTGGGCGCCGTATTTTGAGGCTAGCTGTTGTGGATTAGACGTCAACCCGTTGTTGAACTGCGCGGGATGCCCCATTAAGGGATCCTGGTATGCCTGCCACTGGGAATCCATGGCTTCCTCCTCCCGTATAGCAGCGGTCTCGTGAAGGTCAAGTGGGAGATCAGATCAGATCGGACATATGATGAACATTTATCAGTGTCGACAGCGCACATGCACCACGATCGGGGGTTAGATAGTAGCAGCGGGGACGGCAGACGCACGTAGCGCAATCAGGCGGAGACGACGCGGGACACCGGGAAGTGGTGGTGCAAATCGAAAATCGGAGGGGAGACGAGACGGAGGAATTGAAGCTAAATTCGAATTGCGTCGAACCTCATTATTTGAACAGCAGGCTGTTCTGATGATGAGGGTTCAGAAGGGGCGAGAGGGGAGGCGGCCAGTAGACGGACGGAGTGGGCGGTCGCAATCCACAATGACGGGTGCGACGCAGCAGCCAATATCGATGCGGCAGCTGACACGCGAAGGGGGTTTGGTCGGTTAGGTTTGGGGGGGGGAGGGAAGGACGGCGACTGAACCAACTAACTGTTGGAACCCCCAAGGGAAGGATGGGAATCCAGACAGCAAGTTATACAGTCGAGGAATAGATATGGGTAAGGGGGGGAGGGAAATCTGGAAGCAAGTCCAGACGATGGGCACTGAGTGAAACTAGTGCGGAGGGGGGAAGGAAGGGAAGAAGAGAGGGAAGAGAGGGTAAGTTGATTTCAGTTCGTGGAGGTGGAGATACCCTCTGACTCTGACTGACTGTGAGTGAGCACTGAGCAGCAGCGAGATCCGACGGCGGGCCTCAGGCTGCCGTTGGGTTGGGCCGTTTGTTTTGCAAATGGAATGGTGCCGGGAAAGAGCCACCCACGGACCAACCTGATACTACTCTCTTTTTTCCTTCCTTCGCTGGATACTGACTGTTCTAATGGCTGATCTCACGACTTTTGGGGATGACCCCTCTTTCATCTCCACGACTCCCCTCTCTGCAAGACAAGTGTGAGTGTGGGTGAGAGAGAGAGTGTGAGGGTGTGAGGGTGTGAGTGTACGTGCGTGCAGGCAGATTGGTAGGGATCTTGTCGATAGATGATGAATCGACTGCCAGCAAATCCAGGCCACCCCGGTTTCCAAAAGGCAAATGAAAGGGAGGAACACAGACAGACAGACAGACACACAACCAGCCAGAGAATGAAAAGACCCAATGCAGTTAAATACTAGCTAGCATTCCCATCTAGCCACCGTCCAGGGTTAGAACCAACATTAATTTTGGCCTACATCAAGGTGTAACTAGGCAATTAAATAATCATGGCGACTAGACTATTTGATGTCTGTCTGAGGTCTGAGTCTTTTCGCCTGCCTCGCGACCAACCTCTTGGACGACGATCTGCCTTCATTCGGAAGCATCCGCTGCCCCCTTGGGCATTCAAGTCCAACGGTACTGTTTTGGTATAGCTCGCTATACGAGCAGACTTAATACAACAATGCCTTTTCCTGCTGTTAATTTGGGGGGAAAGGATGACCTGGACCAGAGACGGTTGCTAATGCCATCCATGACTGGTGATTGTAATTGTCTCGAGTTCTGTACTACGGTTCCCTCTGCGTCATGGCCGTTTGCAGAAGCAGTTGCCAACCCTCATAACATTTGATTTGCACTTGTTCCAGGCCCAACAACATACGGAACCGAAACTAGGCGGTATATTCCACTCCTCCTCATAATGAAAAATTGGCACCGGAGGACATACCCGAAGCTCAAGGGAATTTCAGTAAGGTGATGACACTAACATCATCATCTGAGTGAGGTGTGTGAGGTGGACTGAGGCAACACACGGGCCCCAACCAGTCCCGGTGACGTGGGAGGCTACGTGGTGGATGACTAACCGCCCAAGGGCTAGGCACCAGGGCGGTGAGTCCCAGGCTGCCGTCGGTGAAATCTTTCTGCCGGCTCTATGGTTATCGTCGCGGTCCTTGTAGACATGGTCCGGCGCGGACCATCGCCAGTCCCATCCAGTCTTCGGAGATTCAATCTCTTTACTCTCACTTTCTCGCAGTCGGGCTGACACGTCCAGAGCCTGTGCGTGTTAAATAGCTTTTTTGCGCTATAGACTGGCTCTCATTAATTGGTATTGGTTAAATCGAACCCTGCCAGACTTACTTCGAACTACACATCGGTGACGCCACTTGCTGCAATGACCCTGGTATCATCTTTTTCATGACCACTATAATATCACACATAACTCTTACTTCTCCTTAAGAACGACCATAAACTACGGCCACATATTAATTTTGTGGAAAATAAAAGAGACGATCGTGAAATTCATCAGACTTGATAATCGCGCTGTTCATCTAGAAATTCACACAGGACCATGGATGACGCAAATGTGAACGATGTGGATGTCGCTGCGTCTAAAAATGGCTCGGATGAAGAAATTAAAAAAGAAGAACAGCCGGAACAACAAGCAACATCAGCATCGGATTTACCTAAATCTGAAGCTTCTCTAAACCAAGGGCATTCGGCAAATGCCGATGAAGCAAGTCGATTACGTGAACTGCAGGCCGATGTTCGTGATCAGGATGATCTCGAAAGGGACATCTCTCGTCAGGTACAATCTACTGGTCAATTTCTAAATGAGCCGAGATTGCTGACGACTATGGTAGGCCGACAAGTTGCTCATGGAGCAGGCTGATGAACGGGATAGCAAGAGATTAGAGAAAACCACACTAGAAAAACAGTATGGTTATGATAATGCTGAGATGTATGCGTGAAGCTTACACTGAATGATGACAGGAAGCTCGAGAGCCAAATCTTGAAATTGCATCAACGTTTGTCGCAGCCAGTTGGCACATCTGCGAGAGTCCGTATCAGGAATGAGATTGAGAAGCTGGAAAGCCGCAATGCGGCACTGGCAACTGACCTTACCGAAATCCAGCAAAGAATGGACGAAAGGCATCAAGGACAAGAAGCTGGTTCTCAGACTACCGGGACTGGCCGCATGCCTAATGAGTCGCGCCGGGACTATCTCATTCGGACGGGAAAGATTACGCCATTTTCCAACATGAGCTCGGGGCCAAACCATGGTCCTCTTGCCAGCCTTCAGGATGCCTTGATCGATGCAGAGGACGAACGCGATGAAAGAGAAGCATTGGAGCAGGTGAAAAACCGGTCAGCTGTTTCACATCGTAATCTCGTACGACCTGGATTCGGGTTCGACGAAACTCCCGAATCCAGCATAGTGGATGAAGCGCCTACCTCTCGAGCAAGTAAGCGCCGAAAGATAGACCGCGAGTCTTATGATGACGAACAAGAAGATTTTGAACAAGACACCAAGGTATCCTTCGAAGATAATTTCGAAGATCAAGATGAATCTGCTAGCTATGTTGAATCTGAAAGGCAGTCGTCTGTATCGGAAGATGAAGAAGAATTTCTACCTGAAGAGAAGCCAAAACGTACGGCAAAGCCGGTAAAGGCTCCAAAGTCTTCAGGTGATGTTGAAGATTTCAGCGGGATGGATGATGGAAATGAACAGCTCTATCAAACTAGGCTTCAATATTGGGTCAGTCAAAGGGCTGCTGCTAGGAAAAGAGCGCTTGAAGTTCATGCTGAAAGCCATGGATCCGAAGAGGTTGCTGCTGGAGACACTGTGGATGTGGTGGATCAAGATGAACAGGAAGAATGGTTCATGCCTCATCCGACAGTTGCAGATATGCCTTATGACAATGGCTACCGAATACCCGGTGATATACATCCCCTTTTGTTTGATTATCAGAAGACCGGAGTACAGTGGTTATGGGAGTTACAACAACAGCAAGTAGGTGGCATCATCGGCGATGAGATGGGTCTTGGCAAGACTATTCAAGTCATATCTTTCCTTGCTGGTCTCCATTACAGCAAAAAGTTGACGAGGCCGGTCATTGTCGTATGTCCTGCCACGGTCATGAAGCAGTGGGTGAATGAGTTCCACCGTTGGTGGCCTCCTTTTCGAGTATCCATCCTGCACACGTCCGGTAGTGGAATGGTCAACATCCGGAATGAGAGCAGTAGAGAAGATGCTCTTCTGTCTCAGTCATGGAACTCCTCGAGTTCCCGTGGCATGCCCAGTGGCTTGAAAGCAGCAAGGAAGGTCGTCAAACGTGTAGTAGAAGAAGGGCATGTACTGGTCACTACTTATTCGGGCCTACAGACCTATGCTTCTCTCGTGATCCCGATTGAATGGGGCTGTGCTGTTCTGGATGAAGGGCACAAGATTCGGAATCCGAACACCTCCATTACTATTCATTGCAAGGAACTCCGGACACCCCATCGCATTATCCTATCGGGTACCCCGATGCAAAACAATCTTACAGAGCTCTGGTCTTTGTTCGATTTTGTCTTTCCAATGCGTCTGGGGACTCTAGTGAACTTCCGGAATCAATTTGAATTCCCCATCCGTCAGGGTGGGTACGCAAATGCCTCTAATCTGCAAGTCCAGACGGCTGCCAAATGTGCCGAGACGCTCAAGGACGCCATTAGTCCCTACCTTTTGCAGCGGTTTAAGATCGATGTTGCGGCAGATCTGCCAAAGAAGAGTGAGCAAGTGCTGTTCTGCAAGTTAACAAAGCCGCAGCGACAAGCATACGAGACGTTCCTTGGTTCCGAGGAGATGAAATCCATCCTAAACGGGCGTCGACAAGTCTTATTCGGTGTCGATATATTACGAAAGATTTGCAACCATCCCGATCTACAAAACCATAAGTTGATGTCCTCGACGGCAGGATATGGTGGCGGATCAAAGTCCGGCAAAATGCAGGTCGTCAAGTCGCTGCTGGAGCTATGGAAGGATACCGGGCACAAGACTTTGCTGTTCACGCAGCATCGGATCATGCTCGATATCCTGGAGAAGTTTGTGAACTCACTGTCCGGATTCAACTACCGTCGAATGGATGGCACTACACCCATCCAGCACCGGCAAGCCATGGTGGACGAGTTCAACAATGACCCAAGCCTACATGTTTTTCTACTTACCACAAAGGTTGGCGGGCTGGGTGTGAATTTGACGGGTGCTGATCGGGTTATCATATACGACCCCGATTGGAACCCCTCAACCGATGTGCAGGCGCGGGAGCGGGCCTGGAGACTAGGACAAAAGCGCGACGTCACCGTCTACCGGCTTATGACAGCGGGCACTATAGAAGAGAAGATCTATCATCGCCAGATCTTCAAGCAATTTCTTACGAATAAAATTCTCCGAGATCCCAAGCAACGCCAGACTTTCCAGCTGAGCGATCTCCATGATCTCTTCTCCCTGGGAGACGAAGGACAAGGTCCCACCGAAACCAGTAAGATCTTCAAAGATGCGGACGTCACATATGAAGACAGTGATGGCGCCTCGCGCAGGTCCAAGGCAGCAACCAAATCATCTGCTGCTTCACATAGCGCGCAGGAAGAGAAGAAAGACATCAGCAAGGTCGTTGGCGTGGCCGCAGTCGAACAATTCCAGGGAGAACCAGAGCAACAGAGCAGCGAGCAGGAGAAGGGCACTTCTGGCGCCAACTCCGAGTCCCGCATCATGGAGGGCATTTTTGCCCGATCCGGGGTCCACTCGGCGCTAGAACACGACCAAATCGTGAACGGCAAGCGCGTGGTGCGAGCAGACCCCAAGATAATCGAGGCCGAAGCAAAGCGGGTGGCAGCTGAAGCCGCAGAGGAGTTGCGGCGAGCGGGCGAGGCAGCGCGGTCTGTCCCCATTGGCACTCCAACCTGGACGGGCCAGTTCGGCCTGGCTGGGAAACCCGAAGAACAGTTACCCAGTCGACCTGCATTTAGAGGGAGCAGTAGCGCCGCCAGACGAGCAGTAGCCGGACCATCCTCAGCAAGCATCCTGGCGAATCTCTCTGCGCGCACACCGTCCCCGCGCAGCAGCAGCAACAGTCCCGCGCCATCACGCACCCCCAGCGGGGTCGATTTCATTACGATGATTCGAGACTTCATCACAGCCCAGGGCGGGTCGGTGTATACCCAAATGTTGATCGATCATTTCAACCGCTACTGCACCACGCCGCAACGGTCGGCCGAGTTCAAGGAAATGCTGAAGACAATAGCCGTGCTGGACAAGGGGGGACGAAACGGGCGCGGGAAATGGGCCTTGAAACCCGAATATGCCAAGCGACGATGATTGCCACCTAATAGCGCATTTGTATACTAGATATGAGATCATATTAGGCGTTGGGCAACCATGGGATGAATAGATTAATTGCGTTTTGGAATGATCGATACCTATATCCTATGCTAATATACAATTATGTATCAGGGATTACCCATGTATGTCCCGAAGGGCTGAAAGTTGAAGAAGGTTGAAACAAGCAATTCGCCGATCCAATGCCCCTTCGTGTAATTATTCTACTATCTATAGTAATCATCATTGTTGTACAGCAAAATGCACTGATCATCAAAAACCCCGAGCAAACGTAATCATCATCATCTCTATGACGTATACCCACTGTACACTGTACTGTGTATCTGTGACAGACAGAAAAGACTGATTATTGAGTTCTTTTTCAGCTACAGTAAGTAGTCTAGACGAACGTTTCCCACCGACCAAAGAAGTAAGTCATTCGGATATTATTACCCCGCGGGAAAACAACGTGATAAAACGAACTGGTTCCGTGGATAGCGATCGTCCTTTTCTTTCAAGACGGTTTGGGTGGGGTGTGGGTTTGTGTCATGAAAGACAATAGTGTGAACCAGAGAAGGGGAGGGAATGGAACGGGGAGGGGAATCATGATGTCAGTTGTAGTTGCAGAGTCGGGGGGCCGGCGTGATGAATATGACTTGTCTAGATTTTTTCGGATAGCATAGCCACGGTGTAGTACGGAGTAGGGTTGGTAGTTGTACAGGAACGAAAGTCTAGACAGATACTAGTTAGTTACTTTACTAATTACTAGGATGCTGTAAGTAAGAAAAGGTCTGAGTGAGTTGGTTGTTTCAAGACCAATCGGGAGTGGTGGTATGATCGGGAAGTCAAAGTCCACTTTTTTTTTTTCTGCAGGTTAAAATTCTATTTTCAAGTGAAGTTACGTGATGGTCGTGATCGGCTTCAGGGGGGGAGGACGCATTGATCAATTGTTACTGAATCCTCTACGCATCATAGTTACTATTGTTGTTGTCTTTCGTAATGACGACAATTCCATTGTCTACTATTGTGGAAAGAGAAGACGATCCAATCCGCGAGGCATATGACGACAGAATTGGATGGATGAATGGATAATGGTAGAAATCCGAGCCGAGGGAGGAGAAAATCTGAGACAAAAAAGTCAATCATCTGACTGGGCAGGGATCGGTCGGGCATCGGGCATGGAGGAGAAGAGGAGAGAGTGTGTGAAAATCCGATCAGCCGATAGATTAAGATCGACTGCTTACAAGTTTTGAGTAGGATTGGATTAGTATTTAGTCTTGTTGGTGGGTAAAATAAAAATAGAAATATAATTATTTAGTTAGTCTGTCTCATGTCAGATTAGCACTGATGGGGTTTGCTGTTTGTTAACTTGATATAGTATGGAGGTAAAGGGGAATAATAGTACTATTCCCATCTCTCTATCTCTACTAGTACTACTATAATATACTGAGTATGTGAAGTGTATGTATGCGGGGATAACTCCAGTCTCCTCCCGCCATCCTAGTCGTTCATTCCGCGCCTGTCCAATCAAGCCGTTCTGTTGAATTCGCCGCCAAACCCTGATTGGTCCGGCTCAAAACCCTCCACCAGCACAGCCAAGAACGGGATCAGCCAATCGGACTGTGATGACCAGGGCGGCCAGTCCGAAAGTGCAGTGGAGCAAGAGGATTTGCCTCCAGTTGTTCCTGCCTCTTTGCCTGCCTCTCATTCTGCCAACTCAAAAGTATTCCTCAGCTTGAGGGAAATCAAGCTCCAACCACCAACCACCAACCGCCCCCTCCACCTGTCGGCATTCGCCCAAGTTTCTATTCTCAGATTCGCGCAAAGTTTTCCCTAGTCTAGTCGGTAGTCTGTCCTGCCCCTGCACTATCCTTGGATCCTCCACCACTCGTTCCAACTTTCCCGTAAACTGTAGGCATTTCGGCGCCGGTGCACCCGTGTCCGCCCCCAACTGCGGCTGTGGGGAAGAATCGTGGTGGCTGTCCGATATAAAGACGCTGGCCATCCCCCTCCATTTCAGCCTTCATCTATCACGCACCATCCTCCTCCCTTTCTCCCACATCCACTGTTCTATTTCAGGATCAAACCACGAGCCATACTGACTCTTTCTATTTTAATTTCCAACTTCTTCATCCACCTCTCTCCCATACCATCCATAATGAAGTTCCTTGCCTCTCTTGCCCTGTTGGCGTCTACTGTGGCTGCTGGCCCGGTGCTGTACCCCCGCCAGTCCAGCAACTCCACCCAATCCTTCTACCTGAAGACCTCGGGCGCTACCAACGACGACCACAACAACCTCTACATTTATGCCTACCACACCGGTGCGGGATTTAACGATGCCGTGCTGACCTCGGACGTCGGAACGGCCAGCCCGGCCTTCCTGAACGGCACCCACACCCAGTTCGACCTGGGCACTTCTTTCCCCTGGGGATTCAAGATGGGCGTCCAGAACAACTATGCAGGTTAGACTTCCTGTTCCTTCCCCTGTTCCATGTTTTGTTTTGTCTTGCCACATGGACATTCGGAGAATTAACTTTTTGGCAGCATGGGAGTCCGTTCAGATCAATGTTGGATACGGCGATGATGACTTCTCCATTGGTTCTACCGGTCTGGAGTGGTCGGCACAGGATGGCTTTGGAGGCTGGCTAGGTGAGTGACACTGAACATATATATAACCATACAATCTGTCAGGACGTGCCACTAACTGCAGCTATGTAGTGTGCGACTGGTACCACAACGCACCCCAGCTCTTCTACATCTACCGCTATGAGGAGCCCACTATTCCGGATTCCTGCAGCACTGTCGACCTGACGCCCGAATACACTTCCTAAAGACACGACGTCTAGACCTCGCCACAGTGCCTTAACAGGGGCTCTATGACGAGGGTGGCGTGACTGATGAATCATGAGACCGAAGGATCTGGGAGGATATGCGCCTCTCCCAGCCTGAGAGTGAATGCACACTGTAACAATACGCCTGTTAAATGATCGACCCTTACTAATGTTAATATACTTAATGATGAGTGTGAATGAGTTTTGATGACCGGGGAGCAAGGTGATCTATCTATACGCGAAGCGTGGCATGTTGCATAGTCAGGAATATCTGGTTTAGATAATCTCACGTAAATACATGCATTTATACTATCTTTTTATCTCTAATCTTCATGATTGACAGGAGTGATAGCTGCAAATCCACAGTAAAAGTAAAGTAGATTGATGTGCTTCTCATCCGCTCTTCGCTTATCGTAGTGGCCAATAATTGGCAATAGTGGCTGCCGGGATCCGGTTAGTGTCGCAGACTTTGCGGGGACACCAAAGACTGATTTCTACAACAATCCATGACTATGACTGACTGTACGGGGAATGAACTTGCACCTAGAAAACGAGACGAGATGGATAGCTGATACAGTCAGAGAAGGACAGACACGGAATGATTCTTTCGCCAGAACTTTATACCTGCGACGAGGGAGGCAAAGGGACTATTCTAAGTGAAACAAAGTTGCTGGCCAGGGCATAAATCATGATCCCCGACCGGGTCAGATGCAGTGGATGCCTCAGGCGTACCGCCAAAAATAGCCGGGTGTCTCACTCCCTGGCCCAATCGGGCAAGGCGCGCCTTCAATGGCTGCTCGTCTGGTCTTTTAGTCTCTCGCCCTCGTCTTTCTTTCTTCCCCCCTCGGGTCGGACAATGCTTCGCTCGTCTGTCGTTTGTCTTTTCTGACCTTCGCTATCGCTTGATCGGTCGTATCTTTTCATCTCTCTGCCACCCCAGGTTCGCTGGAATCAGATCCGTCCCTGTCGCTCGCTTTGTTTACATCTGTCTCCCCCCGACCCTCGTTGGACCCTGCCGAGAATCTATCGGACGATCTGCATGTTTCAGTCCCGCTGGCCTGAAAAAACACCTCCTCTGCAGCCCGTATCGCTTCATCGCTGGATTTGATCATCGCTTATCGTGCTCGACGGTTCATCTTCGCCATCCTGGTGTAGCTTCGTCTGTTGCTCGTCAGTTCATCGCAGTTACAAATACCCCTGTCGCTTCTGCCGCCGTATACGGGAAAGGGTCCACGTCGATCGGACCCTGAATTTTGCCAAGGGAGTCAACCGACCCCTCTGCCTTTCATCAACACAACCGCACAACACTACAATCGGACTTTTCAAGATGCGTTCCATGTCTCGTCTGTTTGTTCTGTGCCTCCTCTTGGTGCTGGGGACGGTAACTTCCGCCTGGCCATGGCCGCCGCATGGCGAATTGTTGCGACGAGCTGGTCAGTCCTATCTTATGACATTTACATCCCTTGGCCTTTATCCTACTTTCATCGTGATTCGTGTATGATGTGTTGCTGACCCGCGAAGATACCACCGCAGCTGAGAGCGCAACCACTGGAGCCGCCGCTACCACCGAGAGTGCATCGAAGACCGAAGCAGCGACCAAAACCGCCGCCGCAACAGGAAGCGACACCACGGCCACGGCCACCGGCACCAATACCAAGTCAGCAACCGGAACAGGCACTGCCAGCGGCAAGTCCTCTGGCTCTTCTTCGAACAGCACAACGAGTGTTTCTATCAACCCCGCTGCCGGTGCCGGTGGTATCTCCATGCTTATTCCCACCCAGGGTGCCACAACCTACTATAAGATCGGCGATTATGTGACATTGAAATGGAACTACACCTCTTTGACCATTAGCCCAACGGCTGTCAATGTGGTCGCTTCGTGCAGTTTGAACAGCGCCACCTACACCCTCACGTCCAACATGACCATGTCGCCCACCGGAGAGGTGGTCTGGGACACCAAGAAGTACCAGGCCAACGCGACTGTCCCGTTGTTGACAGCGTCGTACACGTTGATCGTGTGGGATGCCAGCAAGGCCATCACTGAGACGGCCAGTGCCGGCTATCTTAGCGCTGCTAGCAGCTACATCTTCGGAATGTACAGCTCCCAGCCGTACACTCCGCTCAATGGTATGTTATCCCCTCCGTATATTGTAATCAGTCTGCTAACTTCATCAGGATTTGTCTGCGCTACCTGCAGCGGCGCTTTCTCCGAACTCGAACGCTTAGGGATGAAATTCACCTTCGGCATGTTCGCCATCACCGTCCTGTCCTTCACCTGGTTCGCCGGTGGCTTCGGTCTCTTCTCCACGTGAATGTAATCTCCGGATGACGACGACAAAAAGAAACATTTTTATGCATTAGAATGTTGCATTGAGCAAAGCGAATTTCGTTTCAAGTTATGATGATAGCAAACTATCAGCTGGGTTGGATTGGCGTTTGCGAGTTTCCATTTCTGATTTGACTAATGGCTGGGAAGTTCCTCTATATTATTGACCTTTGTTCACTCCTTTGAAGCGCAGCAATAGCGGGATATCAGTGTAATAGTGTGTGCATGCGGTGATTATGACATATTGATTGTATCTCCACTTGGCCTGTCTATATTTAATGTTCTCTGCAATTATGGCATGGATGTATGTATACATACTCATCTGGACTGTATCGGATACTTCCTCAGATTAATATATACTACAGCAGTAGAATAGAACGAGCAACCTTACTGAAAGATAATGTGATACTAAACTTTATGCACTTCCCATCACAGCACCGAGTATCCATACTATCACTATAGTAGTAGTATATGCTGGAACAACCCACCTTCATCATACTACCAACCAACCAACCAACCAAGACGACACCCAACCTTGATGCCTTAAAAAAGAAGAAGAGAATAATAACCCGAAAGTATTAGGATACTTACTACAACAAATAGACCTTTAAAAGAAATATCCCGAAATCAATTACTACATAAACGGAGTATCTCATCCACACCCCTTATGAAGATAATATATACTAATCCGTCCTCTGTACTACTACTTACTTACTACACGACGAAGTCATTTTCTAAGGATGATGATATGACATCATTTCGTTTATTCCAACAGATGACTATAAAATGAGTGTGACATATATATACTGAATATATATAGTAGATGGAATATCCCGAATTCTATGTCCTATCTACTTCATATGATGTATGTATGTATCCCACTAGGTACAAAATCATTGTACCTGGTAGTACGTAGTATTGCCCCAATTGAAAGATTTGATTGATAGATTGATCAATGGGTACGATAAGATATGATACGATACGGATCTCCCCGTTTGCTCATCACCAACACCAACGGTAGTACAATGCTACTATTCTTGGTTACACCCATCAATTGAACTCAGTTTGATGTCCCATAAACGAGGTTTCACAAGGTATAGGAATATGAGATGTATGTAGGTTCTATTTGTTTAGAAATATAGGAGATAACCTCATTAATGATGAGTGAAATTCAGGCACTTGGCATAAGGTAGATGGATCTGCAGGGACTGCTGAGCATAAATAGGATCTGCTTTTCTCGTTTTTGATGTCGATTCTCGTGTCATTGATAAGTATATCTATCTATCTATCTATGTCAGAGTCTCTCACATTTGATATCGTCTTTGACTAGACTTCAGCTATCTAACTTGTTTGTTATTGAGTCAAAACTAGTGACACCAATCCCTATCAACCACACAAGCCGACCACCTCGGAGACCAGAGCAGTCATATCGCAAACAAAATGTCAAGTTTCTGGAACCCCAACTACAACGTTACCAGCAGTCACAGGAAGAGAAGGTCGAGAAACAAAGGCAAACAGCGCGAGGAAAACACAGCAATACCATTCTTTGGCTCCTCGACATCAGCATCACGACGGCAGCGACAGTCATCATCGTCATCATCGTCATCCTCTAGGTATGAAGAAGAAGACCTAGTCCTGGTCAGACGCAAGGATAGTCCACCGTGGTGGTGGCTGTTGTTGGTGGAAGGGACCTCGGGAGTTACGGTCATGAGAGCTGCCAAAGACGAGCACGGCTCTCGTCGTCGTCCCGGCCATAGGGTGCTTGAGCCACTTGTTGAGGGGAAAGTGGCCAATTTTTTCCCGGCAAGGTTGGATGTGGAGGAGTAGGTGTGATGCCAATGCACCTTTGTTTTTCTTTGTGTTGATTGTTCCGAGGAATATGCACTGGTTACACCCGCGATATGCCACCGATGCGGGTGACGAGTCTCGGATCGACTGATATATGGTATATGAGATGTTGAGGCGTCTTGGAATTGTTGGAATGGAAGGTTCCATCGATAAGTATATTTACTGTGATGTTTCCTTTGGCCATTCACTCGGCACAGCCTTGATGATAGGCTTCCCAGGTTTGACTCCCCTGTTCTTGGGGAGTAGAAGATGGCTTCCGAATGGTGGGAAGGGTTGCAGTGCTGTCGGTCATCTTGGCGCATTTTGCGCAGGGTGTCTGTTTGATAGTCGAGTAGGACGATATCATGTCCTAACATAAGAAAGTCAGTGTTTTGTCCACATAAACCAGATTCAGCCAGCGTAGAAAGTAGAGCCAGTCTTACAAGTAGATAAAGCAAATCCCACTGTCGCGGCCTCGCATTCAAGCACTGCGTCACAGCGGTCTCGACCTTGGAAGGCGTCTGTCCCCCAGGCGTCCTAGTAAAAACCCGCCAATCAGGAACGCCATTGCCATCCCGACCAGCAATAGCCTCGACCCTGAACACTATTCCAGCTTTGACAAGCACAACAGTAACAGCCGCTTCACTCTGACTCGCCAAGACCCGCACACCAGGCACATTCTTCTGAGCAAAGCCGTCAACAATCGCTCTCCATCCACCCTCAGTAGCCTGGATCTTCGATCGCTCCATCTCCTCATTAGCTTTCTGCTGTTGCTCAGTCTGAGCCTGCTCCTCCTCACGGAGATCCGCGAGAATGGTATCGTAATCTCGTTCCCATTTCCCCGTGGGCTGCAGCATCACGCCGCCGTTTTCTTTAATTTGCGCGTCGACGCGATCCCAGACTGCTTTCATCTCGGGACTTCTCCACATCGACTGAAACTCTTGCAGCTCGGAGACACCCGCGCGCGCTGCTTGAGCGAGCTGCTCATACAGCATTTGCGGGGACTTGGGGACGGATCTTCCCGCAGCGGCCTTGGGGTTGACAATGGGTGCCAGGGGCTCCAGAAGGCGCTCGGGAAGTAGAGTCCGTAGTTGATGGATCTGTCAGAAGTGTTAATTGCTGTCGAGCTTGACTGGAAGGAGTAATACCCACCATTGCTTCCATCTTCTGAAGCTTCGCGAGCGAGGAAACAAGTTGCGTTTCAGAGTCCCAGGCATCAGGACTGGGGTCAGTGTTACTAGCCGCCCCTGTAGAGGCTTCAGCGCCATTCGAGGGAGGGACCATGGCAGGCACGACCACTGGCATTCTAGGGAGTGTTTGACCGGGGTTGGGAGCAGATGCCATTGTCACTGTCAGTGAGAAAGGATGGCGATAGTGATTTATAGTAGCTGATTGTGAAAATCCAGCACAATTTATGAGGTGAAGGGAAGTTCCAGCAATCGTCAGCTGATAGGCCAGCACGTGTATTCAGTCCAAGTTAGGTAATTGGCAAGCTGGACTATGGATGCACGTATGAGTAAAAGTGAAGTACGTCTCTTTATGAGTCGTGTGATTGATCAAGTTCTAAGGATCTCAAAATTCAAGAGTCCACTTGACGCAGCAGGTATGGAACTGGAGACAACGTCAACAATGGCGATAGGTTGAATCTCGGTGGAGGGAATTGCGCCGCCGAAATTAGCTGACTCAGCACGCATACGGATCAGCCACTTCTGTATAGCCACAGAATGCTGTGGCTGAAATGAAAAATGCATGTACGCCGTTAGGAATAAGCAAGACCATTATGCATAACTATAAATCAGCTTTCACCGAACTAGCCCGGCTAGCTCAATCGGTAGAGCGTGAGACTCTTAATCTCAAGGCTGCGGGTTCGAGCCCCGCGTTGGGCTGTTCAACTTCCTCTTTCCCTTTGCCCGGCTAGCTCAATCGGTAGAGCGTGAGACTCTTAATCTCAAGGCTGCGGGTTCGAGCCCCGCGTTGGGCTTTCTTTTTTGCTTTTACCACTTCGTGGTGGTGAAGTGGTAAGAAAGATGAGTGAGTGGATCTTTGGGGGAGGATTCTATTCGGTAGTCACGGATTCAAATCCCGCTACCATTACAATCTTATCCATTACAAGAAGTCGCTCGTTCCTTGCTGACTCGTACTACTTTCCAATGTGAGTACTAGCCAATGAATCGATTCTTGAGTTGTCGCCATGCATTTCAATTTATAAGGACAAGATTACTTCGAGTTGAGTACTGGTAATTTGACCATAGCATATGAATATAACTACTATATTCTGACGAGCTAGGACACTGAAATATATGAAAAATATATTTCTTGTGTATCAACGTTGCTTTGCTGTCTCCGGCATAGTATTACCGAGCTACTAGAAATAGCATTGCCATCAAGAGTCAAAGTATGTAATGTAGAATCTCATCATATTAAAATATCCAGGCTAGTATATGTAGCCATTTCTGGGAATGTCCCGGGGCATGAAAAGTGTAGCTCGTCAAAATGCAAAGAAGTCGTAGCCATCCGGCGGCTTGAACAATTGATGATGTGGTTAAAACCCCAGCAGTGCTGGCAAATCACGAAGAAAACAACCGAATATGGACGCCACGGTCATGCGACAGCGTGAGACTGGAATTGATGATCGGCTCCACCATATCAGGATCGGCATTCTCAATTCTGTTGTACTGCTGTAGCAGCTTGACCATGGTGTAGCTGGCTTCAGTGAGCGCATATTGCTCTGGAAGAGACTGTTAGTAATGTGAGTGTGGCAAATATATAGGGCAACTTACGTCCAAGACAAATCCGGGGCCCGCCGTTGAATGGAAGGTACTCCCAACCCCGCTTGCTGTTCTCCTCCCATCGCTCGGGTCGGAAAGCATGGGCATCCGGGCCGTATAAGTCGGTGCGACGGTGCATTGCATATACGCTGTACGACACAAGCTCTCCCTTGCGCACGTAGACGGGGGCCTTCCCGTCGGGTCCACCACCCAATGGCAACGAAGTATCTTTGGCGGCGACACGGAAGTTTAGAGGCACAGGAGGAAGGAGACGGAGGACTGGTCTTGTTAGAAGATAATCAGGAGTGCGGCAGGGTTGGGGGTATTGCTCACCTTCGTTCAAGAAATAGCGCAAGTACGGCGTATCTTTCAGCCTAGCATGCGTGATCTTTCCGTTGGGGTGTTTAGCGTCTCCAAACTCGTCGACGATGGTCTGGCGAAGTTTGGTCCAGACATTAGGATGCCGTGCTAGGTAGAAGAAGGCCGAGCTTAGCAGACTGGCAGTGGTGTCGCGACCAGCCAGGAGGATGTTGAGCATGTTGTCACGAATCACTCTCGGGTCATCGGTATCCTCCGCCAAGGCTTCTGCGAAGATGTACCTGCCCGAATCTTTCTTTTCGGGGTGGCGCTTCGCCTCGAGAGCCAGGCGCACGTAGTGGTCAACTACCTCGTGCACAAGCTGGTTCGCTTCACGGAACTCCTTGGGGTTAACGAGCCAGTAGAATGCCATGGCTCTGGATCTCGCTGCCAGGTATTCTTGGGCCCGGTTGAACGCCTCAGCAAAACCTTGGGCGTTTCCAACGGCGGACTTTTCCAGCAGGCTCGACTCAGCAGATGTCCGCATGGATCCAACGGATTCACCAAACAGGAAATGTGTAGCAGAGTCGATGGTCAAGAGGAAGAAGAGTCGCTGGATGTCGAAACTAGAGCCATCCTTGGGAATCAAGTCCATCATCTTGGTGACATGGCCATCCATAAGGTCGAGATCAGCAACCTAGTCGCCCTCATGTGTCAGTAAGTTCTCATTGGTGGTGGATTGGTAGGATGATCAGACCTGATCGCGGGTGAACTGCGGCCTCAGCATGCCACGCGCATGAGACCAGCCCGGCCCATCCAAGGTGAAGATTCCATTACCAAGCAACGGGTAGAACTCGCGATGGCGGGTTCCCAGACCAAAATCCTGGAACTGAGTAGCTAACAGTGCCTTGATGTTCTCCGGCTCGACGGTGTTGGTGACCATGAGCCCTCCCAAGGCCTGCTGACGGAAGGTCGGTCCACTCGTCTGGTAGTGATCGGCAATGTATTCAACCCATCGTTTCTCCCTGGCCGCCTTTGCAATGCGATAGAAGCCAGTGATACCGAGGATACCGGTATCGACGGATCTAGGGGGCTGGCAGCCGAGAGCTTTGGACTTCTTGCGATGGTGGTAAGCCTGGTGGAGGGAGCCCAGGATGCGAAAGGTTAAGTAGATGGCACAAAAAAAGACAACCGCCGGAGCCAACATGACGCAACTGCGGGTAGTCTAGGAATGCGGGGAGGAAACCTAGATAGTAGATGGAGAAGTGGAAAGGAGTGATTTGAGGGATGTGAATTGAGAGATAAATAACTTTAGAGTGAATGTTATGTACAAAGAGGTATGCTAATCGACAGGGGCAGTCCGGTTCCGACCATAGACCTTATATACTTTGTCCCAATTCACCCCGCAAGGAGAGATGCAGACTTGGATTCACTTGGCGAAGAAGGGTTAGTACCAAACTCCTCGGTCGTGAGGCCCCATGTGAAATGAAGGAATGGGGTATCCCCGCCTCCATAGCCACACAGTCAGTCAGTAAGTAGACGAAGACAGGGAGACGGGAAGGGATGGATGGATGGTTCCAGCGATGCAAGAAAGTCAGAAGCGGCAATGGGCTGGAAATGATTGGAAAAGCCAACCTTGCGAGGGGGTCGTTTCCGATTCCAGATGCTTTCGGCACTCGGAAACATCGCAAGCATCTCCCAAAAGGGAAAAGCGGCTGTTGCGTCGCAGGATTTTGGACATGACGCTAATTCCAACCGCTGATCTAAAACCTCCGAGGCTTCTCTTGCATCTACTTATGTTTGCCCGCGTGTACTTTTTTCAAAGTACTATGTAGCATCTCAGGATCCACCACTCCACGGTCAACCTCGTCATCTCTTCTTTATCCAGGCTTCAGGCTCCAGGCTCCAGGCTCCAGCAAAACCCAAACACCTCCCCCCCTAGCCACCAATCACCTGGTTTGACTGGAATTCTGTCCAAAACATTCAAGCCATTGCAACAAGGCGGATGTGAAGATGCCGCGTGACAATTTACCCACGGTCGGCGTGGCCTGAAAGTCAAAGCAATGTTCCGAGTCCTTCATGACGTATCCAAAGACCGTGTCTTCATCTGTCTGCACCCCGCATGCTGGGATCGCGCTCGTAAACTCCACCCCCTGAGGTGCGATATCGTCCGTAGACAGAATAGACAGTGACCGCCACGGATCGAATTCTCCTCCGCTGAAGTAAACATTGGACGGCCGGATCGTCCATCCCCCAAACTCTTGGTTGACCTCATCCGCCCGCGGTGACGGAGGCAACAGTCCTTTCTCCACCGCATCGGGGAACTGTCGGTTACATACTTCTTGCTGGTATTTCACCGACTGGTATCGCGAGGCTAACGAATGTGGCCCTTCGTTGTTCGCTTGGAAGAATCCCCATTCGCTGCAGTATTGCCAAGTCCAAGTGATGGTCGCGGGATCGCCGTATGGCTTGGAGAAATCACAGTCAATTGGCTGAGAAGCGTTCTGAGGTCCGCAGTTGGTCCCCATATTCAGATTGACCAGCTCGAGGAAGGTGGGCCATGCTGCCCATCGTTCAGCGACATACTGGCCGCCATACGTAGGGGCAAGACCATCCGGCCCGGTAGTCCCGTTCGTCTTGGGGTCAACTTCAAGATACTCGCAGAATGCGCCTAGACCTCCAATACCTCCCGCCATACCATAGCTCTGGAAGTAGCTGTAGATGGCGGTTAGCGCTCCAGTGAAATCACCGTTGGAGTTGGCTTCGGCGCCAGGTCCGAAGAAGAGTTGTTTGATTGAGGTAGCTGTATCTTCGTTTGATAGCTGATCGTCGATAAATTCCAGAGCAGCGTGAATATCTGCCGAGCAGTTGGCCCATCCATCAGCAATCATGCCGCGGTAAACCTGGTCGTAATACACGCTCATATTGACCCGTGCTTCCACCGGAGCCGATGAGGAATAGGCTGCGAAGATGGTCTCTGGGTACTCGTTGCGAGTTAATGCAGCACGGATCCCTGCGTACGAGCCGCCAACCATGACCCACGGTGTGCCCTGCGGCGTCAGGTCCACGTCCGGATACTTCTCGCGGCTGAAGTTGCTAGCAAAGTACGGAAGATCCGCGAGCGCCTGCTTGGTGGTGAGGTATTGGTAGGTCTCGGGTGGAGATTCATAAGATATGGGCGCCGGAGTCGAGTTTCCATAGTATCTGTGCTCCCAAGCGATTCCCATGGCGTTGAACTCTATTAGGAATTCTCGGAAGAAGGAAAGAGTGGAAGTTAGGTAGGCTGAGGCTATCGATTCGCCATCCGCCTCCCCCGTATCATACACGAATATCGGGCTGCCAGGCTCATAGAATTCATCGCTGACCCAGAACCGATTTTGATAAGTGCCAGCCGATGCATTGTCATGGTCAAGAGGAATCTGAATCTTGTGATCAGTGAGAGGAACAAATAGCCAGGCTGGTGCTTTTCATACGGTGACATATTCGGTCTCCAACGCAACGGCCATCGCTGAATGTGTAACGAGAGTATTGAGGTTCTGCTCATTGTGTGTCCCCAGGTCTGGGTCAATCCCAAAGTGAGCAAGCGACTGAGTACCCCATCCAAAGGGGGTCTTTTTCTGCCCTGAGCCCATAACGGGCTGCAAGAGCAGGAAAGCCCCGATGGCTGCTATTGTGGTGGCGTATGAAGGCATAGGGGGCCTTCAAGGGACAGTGTATACAAGGGGAGAGGGGGATCGGAGCAAAGGAAGACAGTAGTAACACACAAATTCCTAAATTCTCTTCTTTTCATGATTGAAGGCATTCCTTTTGTGTCTTATGTACAAAACATAACTACCATGGTAGACAGTGAATGAGACGGTTTCGGTCACGAATGTTTGTCATACAGCAGATTCACTTCTTGTAGACGTCTGCCTACGGAAACTGAATTCAACACATGTCAACACGCTCAGCCGAGATATGGTGGGCTGCTGGGCATCGAGTGCGGCCAGAAATCCCTGTTATGTTGGACAAAACCATAACAATCAACCGACGCATCAGGGTTGATGCCTCCGTCGGGGTGTGGCTTCGGGGCGCACGGGCAGCAAAAGCCACATGTCTGTGTCTTAATTAGTGGGTTCCTGAGCAATGGCAATACGTAGCTTTTGCGGGGTTCCTTCCGCTTGCCGAAGATGCCCTGTCGATCATTTGTGCAGCGCAGGATGGTTGGGAATGCGTCTGCAGGGTCCGGACCCAGCCTCCATTCGGTATTGATGCGTGCACCATATTTATCGCCACAATTCACCTTTGCCTCCGCGGTCCTAAGCTGTGCTTCGTTTTATTAGAAGAAGCTGATTGACTCTGCAGTAGTTCAATGTTTAGGGTTACTGCTCCCAGTTTCTGTCTCGCCTTCGCCACGAGGATTGCGCTGCATGCTGAAGCAAGGGGTTGTGAAACCAAGAGGATTTGCCGAAATGAAGCGTAATACTTGACTGAGACAAATACAGGGGTATGATTAGGTAGTCTGCACTTGAACGTAACTGATATAATCTGTGTGCACGGTCTTCTCAGTCTCGTTAGTTTCCCTATCTCAGCAGCATTCGAGTAGCGTCAACGGGAATAATAGAAGAAGATTCAAGAGTTAGTCAGGGCCCAGAGACTGGCGGGAAATGAACAGAAGATCTGGCCGTAAAGATATTCCTGAACACTGCAACTGGAAGTTTGGCTTGTATGAGCCACCAGCATGCCTACACCCTCGAGCTCGTAGCTGTAATCTGTCTTGCAAGGACTCTCATCATGAGTATAGACACGGTCGAATGCGATCAATCGTACCGCAGCTTCGTATTAGAAACTAGGAATCGAAAATATACACCCATTTAGTAATCTTGCCGAGCTCTAGGGGAAATGTGAAGAAGAATGCCGAGAGTGGACGGAATGATGGTCTAGTTTCGGGCGGCGAGTCTGGCTCGGTTCGGTGTTTGTTTTGCATTCCCTTGCATTCCTCCTTTCTTGCGTTCGGAAATCCTCATGCCGTCGGCATTTGCCGACCCATGCTCTTGTATCTATTTTGACAGGTGGGCCGATTATCTCCATCATTGAGGATCTCGGAGGATCTACTGAAGACTGCAGCTTCAGGAACCGTGGTATCTCTTGTAAGACCTTTGCTACGATGAGGCTGTGACTAAATGTCATTCGATCCTATCGCCAGTATCTTCATAAACTGACTAATTGGGTTCCTAGATTCTCACAGCATCAGCAAAAGCATCATAAGCCCTTGCGTCAGTTCCATCCTTGCAGATATAAGCCGGTGCAGCCCAAGTTTAAGGTTATGTTTTCGACGTGTTAAGCATCTCACCAGAGTTGTTCAAACGCAGACTGTATTTCAACATTGGCAAGGCCATGTGACGATGCTCTGGTCTACAACAGCTCGAGAAATTCAATCATAGCATCGCCTAAAATCATCCCTCTTCTATCAAAAAGGACCGAGCTACTTGCCAGGTTATTCAAACACCATGGCTTGACATCTATAAATATTCCAAACGGACACAACCCACAACCAAATGGGTTTCTCCACAAAACAGTCGTTGCTGGATAAGGACGTTGAGAACACGATAGCATAACACTATCAGACATCCTGTAAATGTCGCTTAAGAAGATCCGCGTTGCTCGGGACGAGGTACGGTCCACCGGTGCTGTCTCGGACATCATATGGTGCGTTTCAGCATCAACATGAGCTCTTGGCGTTTAGCGGAGCGAGTACACATCCAAAGGGCATAAAGACCTTTTCCACGTGCGGATGGTTTCCATATTGTCGTTTAGATTTGGCGAAGAATATATTAAAATGAGGAGAGAGCCTATAGCTAACATGAAAACCGGCACTTCTGACTCGTGGATTGGCGCTTATGCTAAATAGTCACACCAGGTGATATCGCGCGGAGCTCCCTCCGTCCGCCAGCCAAGAAACGAGTCCGTCCACCACTGAAGAGTCTGGCCAAGGCATAGATGGGGTCCGACGCCCTCCATAATGATTAATTGGGTATATGATCGGCAACATCATGAACGCTCGTTGTCCTTTCAAGACTCAATCGGAGTCTTGACATGAAAATTCTCTCCTTGCATAGTATGCCGAAAGAAACTAGCTTCATAAGGAAGGATATTATATTGGTCACCCTGGAATATGCACGGCATTCAGAATCGAAAATCATCATGGAAGTCTGATATAATGTCAGCTGCAGATAGAGCCAAGTCAGCCATTGGTGGAAGCTATTCGTTGTCCAAGACTTTAGACCAGGGGTTGTGCATGAGGAGTCGCTAGCTTGACGGCTCTGGCTCCATCGGTACTCAGGGTTCGGCAGTGCTCCTGCTGGAATCAGTTATTTAAGGTGTAAGCTCGCAACTAACAAGAAATATACTTTGGTCTGACACTGTCAAACGCCAAGATGCTGTCCAGAACGTCGCTTCTGTCGCTTCTTTCGCTTGCAGCTGGGGTTGTCAATGCAGACTTTGGCATAACGACCAACGATGATTCCTATGTCATAAACGCCAATTCTCCCAACTCGCTGGTATTTACTGTGGACCGCGGAAGCTGCGATATTACTTCCATCGTGCATTATGGCACAGAGCTGCAGTATTCCGGCAAGGGTAGCCATATTGGTTCTGGTCTTGGAACTGCCACAGTGTCTGCTACCAAGAGTGGTAAGTTGAACCTACCCGGGAGTATGAAGTGACAAGCTGATCACGGCAGGCGACTACATCAAGGTGACCTGTGAAACGGACACATTGACCCAGTATATGGTTGTCCATGATGGTGATCCTATTATTCATATGGCCACCTACATTACAGAGGGTAGGTCTTTCGTCGGATTGTCCTCATTAGTCTCTAACAGCCGCCAGAGCCATCTATCGGCGAATTGCGATTCATTGCTCGACTCAACCCGGACGAACTCCCCAACGAGGAGCCGTTCGGCGATGTGTCCAACACTGCCGGTGGGGAGGCTATTGAAGGATCTGACGTGGTATGTCTATTGAATAGTTTCGCAGACGTTGCTAATTGCACGGCAGTTCCTCGTCGATGGGGAAACCCGTAGCAAGTTCTACTCCAGCCAGCGTTTCATTGACGATCAAAGACACTGTAAGACATGTTGGACTATCTACACGGTTCCTGCTGACTGAGTCAAGGCATCGCGGGCGACGAGCACCGCGTCTGCATGATCCTCAACCAATACGAAACCTCTTCCGGTGGCCCATTCCACAGGTAGGTACAAACCATCTATCGCAAGGACAGTACTTACAGCTTCAGGGACATCAACTCCAACAACGGAGGCGACTACAACTCCCTCTACTGGTACATGGTACGTTTCATACTCTAGATCTTGGTCTACAGCTACTGACAAAATAGAACTCGGGCCACGTTCAAACCGAGTCCTACCGCATGGGTCTCCACGGACCCTACTCGATGTACTTCAGCCGCAGCGGCACTCCCAGCACCGACATCGACACGTCCTTCTTCGCGGACCTCGACATTGAAGGCTACGTCGCCGAAGCAGACAGGGGAACCGTATCCGGAACCGCGTCAGGCGCTGACTCCAGCTTCGACTGGGTCGTTCACTGGTAGCCCTCTCACCCACCCGACTAACCGACCCAGCTAACAGAATAGGTACAACGACGACGCCCAATACTGGACCTACACATCCTCCTCCGGCAGCTTCACCTCCCCCGCCATGAAACCAGGAACATACACCATGGTCTACTACCAGGGCGAGTACGTCGTCGCCACCAGCGAAGTGACGGTCAGCGCCGGCTCGAGCACAACCAAGAATATTTCCGGCTCCGTCAAAACAGGAACGACTATCTTCAAGATTGGCGATTGGGACGGACAGTAAGTGACCTGCCTGTAACCACCCACATCACTTAATATCTAACACATTTATAATATAGACCAACCGGCTTCCGCAACGCAGAAAACCAACTCCGCATGCACCCCTCCGACTCCAGAATGTCCGACTGGGGCTCCCTAACCTACACCGTCGGCAGCTCCTCGCTAACTGACTTCCCCATGGCCGTCTTCAAGGCCGTCAACGACCCAGTAACCATCAAGTTCACCGCGACATCCGACCAAACCGGTGCAGCGACGCTGCGTATCGGAACTACGCTGTCGTTCGCAGGTGGACGTCCTCAAGCGACGGTAACCCCTCCCCACCCCTATCCTACTTAGTACTTCATGTTCAGCACAACTAAGATATATACTCAGATAAACGACTACGAAGGCTCCGCACCATCCGCACCCACGAACCTGAACTCCCGTGGCGTGACTCGCGGCGCGTATAGAGGCTACGGCGAGGTGTATGATGTTTCGGTTCCGGAGGGGACAATTGTCGAGGGGGAGAATACGGTATGCTTGCTACCTTCTACCCTACCTACTAGATATATGTTGTGAGTGAAGTTGTGGGAGTGATGTGTGCTGATAGGTGTAGATCACGATTAGTGTTATCTCGGGGAGTTCGGGGGATGAGTTTTTGAGTCCGAATTTTGTAAGTTTTCCCCTTGATGTGAGATGAGATGAGATGGTGGGTTTGGCTGATGAGTTTGGTGTTACTAGGTCTTTGATTGTGTGGAGCTGTTTCAGTGAGGATGGTATCTAGTATGAGAGGATATAGGTCCTGGTATGGGTTGACGCAATGTTGATGGTAGCCCTGTATTGGGATATTTGTGGATAAATTGATTATATCTTCTAGTCTAACCGACAAGTGATACACCCACTCTTTCATCTATAATATGTATGGACGCCAATTCAAAATCTATTACACTGATTATCTACCTACCTCCCCCCAACCTCCCCCCAACCTCCTAACAACCGCCCACCCCACAACACCAACACCAACCGCCCCGATCACCCACCTCATCCATCCCCCACCCTCTCTCCGATCCTCTCCCTTCTCCCAAACCCGATGCACCAGTTTCCCTCCAACCCACACCATTCTCACGTTCCGACTATCCCCATTCCACACCCACTTATGCACCTTCTCCTTCCACTCCTGCCCCTCATCAAACACATCCACCGCTGTCTCCACCCCACCTGTCTTCCCCCACTTCCCCGCAGGATTGAACTTCCCCAGCTTCACCAGCTGCGCATCCCACACCATCCCCTGATCAAACCCGCCAATTTGGTCCGCCATGTCAACCACCGCTGCGCCTCCGCGTGTAGCAAGGTAGAGTGCTTCTTCAATGGAGAGGACTTCTTTCGGTACTCCGTCATTATCCTTGTTTTGTCCTTCAGAAGATCCAGACATATGAGGAAGTAACCTCGACACTAGACACGCTTGGCGAACTGTTTCCAGTATGCTGGGACTGTATCCGCCGCTTACGTCGGTTCCTAGTCCCACCGTGATGCCGGCTTCAATGGCCTTGCGGACTTCGCAGATCCCCGAGCCGAGGGCGGAGTTGGACGCCGGGCAGTGAGAGAGCTTGGCCTTATTATCGGCGATCATGGTCCGCTCGTCGTCAGAGAGATGTACGCAGTGCGCGAGGATCGTCCGCGGGGTGAGCAATTTGAAATACTTATACACGGAGGTGTAATCATTTGCGTCTGGATAGAGATCGTGCACGAGTTCCAGCTCATCCAGGTTCTCCGCCAGATGCGTCTGGATATGTAGCGGGGGCGAGTAGCTCGCCGCGAGCTTGGACAACTTCCCCAGCGAGCGAGGGGTACATGAGGGAGCGAACCGCGGGGTCACGATAGGTTTGATGAGGGCACCCTCGGGATCGATTCTGTGGATGTGGTCGATACTGTCTTGGGTCTTGTCGATGGCGATGTCAGGGGATTCGTCGCGAAGGTAATCGGGGCATTGCTCGGGACGGTCCATGCAGACACGGCCGATGAGAGCGCGTTGGCCGCGGGCGAGGCAGAGGGAGGCGAGGAGGTTGGTGGCGGGAACGTGGATGGTAGCGAAGTAAGAGGCGCAGGTGGTGCCGTTTGCGAGGGTGCGGGCGATGACTTGGTTGTAGACGCGGTAGGCGTTGGGAGGAGGGATGGAGGGGAATTTGGTGCTGCCGAAGGAGGCTTCGATGGGGAAGGTGTAGTTTAGGAGCCAGTGGAGGAGGCCGGCATCGCCGAAGATGCCGGCATTGGGGTATTGGGGGGCGTGGATGTGTGTGTCTATTCGATGTTCCTCTGTATTAGTGGTGTATGCTGGTGGGTTGGGATGTGTAGGGTAGGGGTCGTACCGATGAACCCAGGGAAGAAGAACTCGTTCTCCTCCTCGCGCGCAACCACCAATGTCACTTTCACTCCGTGCTTGCCTTTATGGCCATTCTTGTCATCCACAACAGTCCACCCCTTGTGACGGAGGAATCTCTTCAAGTCCCTGTCGTTGGCAATGGACCAGTCGAATCCCTCGATGGTGCCGTCGGCAGTGGACACCCAGAGCGCGCCGCGGGTGATGGCGAGCTTGTGGCCCTCGTCAGACTTGAAGCGGGGCAGCTGGATGAAGGTTCCCACGAAGAGAGTGTATTGGGGGGACATGATTGCTGTGCTAATGCGGTAGATGCAGAAAAGAGTGTTGTATGTAGGTAGGTTCGTAGCTGACAGCTGCTAGCTAGGAGCTTGTGTGGGGAATGTGCCAATCTGCGTCGCGGGTAGTGGAAAGCTGACGCGGGGTGATGCAGGTGCTGCACGCACTTCAGCTCAATTCAGAGTGCTGGATTGGAATAATTCCGCTATGCGACGGCGATTTAGAAATGCAGCAGTCCAAAACTCCGGAAGAGAAAGTCGACAAAGTGCAACAGCCCAGCAGATGGCTGTCTTATAGTGAGGCCCGTCGCGTCCGGTTCCGGGGCTGCTCGGCCGGCTCCGATCCTGAAAGCGGCTAGTGTGACGATAAGATACGGATTGCCTATCTGGGATGGTTATCTTTTGTTTGGCTTGTTTGCAATGGTATTAATTGATTGATGGAACATTCATGTTTTTATTAATATTTCTAAAACGCCATCCTTGTCTATCATGACAATGTTGAATCGCTGGTCATGCAAGTCGTATCAATATGCAATGCCCAATCCAGAATGTTGAAAATATGGTATCAAACGCAATCGTACACATGGGTATCATAGACTATCTACTCGCTATCCTCCACCGGTCCGCAGGTACAGAAGAGGTTCTGGTCACCGTAGGCTGGAATATATTAGCAAAAGTCTTCAGGAAAGCAGTGGGAAAGGTACTTACCATCATCTACACGCGTCACCGACGGCCAGAACTTCTTCTCCACCAGGTACGGCAACGGGTACGCCGCCGTCTCGCGGGTGTACGGCCGGTTCCACTCGCTAGACAACAGGTCACGCTGGGTGTGCGGTGCCATTTTCAGCACGTTGCCCTCCTGGGGCTGGGCGCCGCTCTCGACGGCGGCAATCTCCTCCCGGATGGAGATGAGGGCATCGCAGAACCGGTCAAGCTCCGCCTTGTTCTCCGACTCGGTGGGCTCGATCATCAGCGTGTTGGCCACGGGCCACGACATGGTCGGGGCGTGGAAGCCGTAGTCCTGCAGACGCTTGGCGATATCGATAGCCTCGACACCACAGGTGTCCTTGAACTTGCGCACATCGAGGATGAACTCATGGGCACAGCGGCCGTTCTCGTTGGTGTATAGGATAGGGTAGTGGTCCTTGAGACGAGCCAGGATGTAGTTGGCGTTGAGCAGTGTGATCTTTGTTGCGTGTGTAAGGCCCTTGGATCCCATCATGTTGATGTAGTTGAAGGTGATGGGCAGGATGCTAGCGCTACCCCAGGGAGCAGCGCTGATCGGGGGCGAGGACGACTCGGACCGCTTGGACTGAAGGTACTCGCTGCCCGGGTGAGAGGGAAGGTAGGGCCGCAGGTGTTCGGCCACACCAATGGGACCGACACCAGGACCACCGCCACCGTGGGGGATACAGAAGGTCTTGTGCAGGTTCAAGTGGCACACATCAGCACCAATCTCGCCAGGAGAGCACAGACCGATCTGGGCGTTCATGTTGGCACCGTCCATGTAGACCTGGCCACCATGCTGGTGGACAATCTCACAGGCCTGCTTGATGCCAGGCTCATACACACCAAAGGTGCTGGGGTAGGTGATCATTACAGCCGCCAGCTCGTCCTTGTGCTTCTCACACTTGGCCTTCAAGTCTTCCAAGTCCAGGTTGCCGGTCTTGGTGTCGCACTTGATCGTCACCACGCGCATACCAGCCATGGCAGCACTGGCAGGGTTGGTACCGTGAGCCGATACGGGGATCAAGCAAATGTTGCGCTTGTCGCCTTCGTGGGCCTCCTGGTACTTCTTGATGACGCGCAGACCAGCGAACTCACCCTGCGCACCGGAGTTGGGCTGCACGGTGACTTCGGCCATGCCGGTGATGTCTGCGAGCTGCTGCTCGAGGTCATCGATCATCTGGGTATATCCCTTGGCCACATCAGCCGGCAGGAACGGGTGCATCTGAGAGAACTCAGGCCACGAGACCGGAATCATCTCCGTGGTTGCGTTGAGTTTCATGGTGCAGGATCCAAGAGGGATCATGGAGTGGGCCAGGGACAGATCCTTGGACTCGAGGTGACGGATATAACGCAGCATTTCCGTTTCGGAGTGGTGGGTGTTGAACACGGGGTGGGTCAGGTAGGCAGAGGTACGCTCCAGGCTGGCGGGCACAGGAGCAACAGCCAGATCCTCTTCCAAGCCAACCTCGGCCTTGGAGGCGTGGGCGGCAAACACCTTAAGGATAGACTTCACCTCCTCACGGCCGACAGTCTCGTCCAGAGAGATTCCGACCTTGGTGTCGCTCAACCGGCGGAGGAACATGGACTGCTCACGAGCAGCCGCAATGATGGCATCGGTTTCTTGGGCACCGGACAGCTCGACAACAACCGTGTCGAAGAGAGCACCACCATCAGCGCTGTTCGACTTGATCGGAACATTGTAACCCAAGCCGGCGAGCTTCGCCTGCAGAGTAGTGGTCATCGACATGATGCGCTGGGCGATAGCCTTCAAGCCAGCAGGTCCGTGGTAGACAGCATACATGGCGGTCATGTTGGCGAGGAGGGCCTGGGCTGTGCAAATGTTGCTAGTGGCCTTCTCACGGCGGATATGCTGTTCACGGGTCTGCAGGGCCAGTCTCAGGGCACGGTTGCCCAGACGGTCCTTGGATACACCCACAACACGGCCGGGAACCTTGCGCTTGTACTTGTCCGCGCAAGCAAAGAAGGCGGCGTGAGGACCACCGTATCCCATGGGGACACCCAGTCTCTGGGCGCTTCCAAACGCAATATCGGCACCGAACTCGCCAGGTGCCTTGAGAAGAGTCAAGGCCAGAAGGTCAGTAGCAACACTGAAGGTACCACCGTTGCCGTGGATCGTGTCACTCAAAGACTGGAAGTCGTAGATACCACCCTCGGTGTCGGGGTACTGAGCCAACACACCAATCAGTTTGTCACCCTGCTCCTTGACCAGCTTAAAGTCATCCGCCAGAATATCGCCGACCACCAGGTTGATGCCGAAGCCCTCTGCGCGGGAGCGCATCACCGCAATGGTCTGAGGGTGGCAGAGGTGAGACACCACGTAAGCCTTGCCGGCCTTCTTCTGCTTCGACATGGGCAGGGTGGCCAAGGACATGGTCATGGCCTCAGCGGCCGCAGTACCTTCATCCAAAACCGAGGCATTGGCGAAGGGCAGACCGGTGAGATCGGCAGTCAGCGTCTGGAAGTTCAGAAGGGACTCGAGACGACCCTGACTGATCTCCGGCTGGTAGGGAGTGTAGCTGGTGTACCACGCCGGGTTCTCCAGGACGTTACGGAGGACGACTGGGGGCACAATGGTCGGGTAGTAGCCTGTTCCGAGGTATGTCTTGCCCGAAACATCGATTTGCTTGCGGTAGGTATCCAAGAGCTTCAGCATATCCGTCTCTCCCAGACCACCGTGCACGCTACTGCGAGGAAGATTGGCGGTGGAGTGCGGAGCAGACACCTTCAGGTCCTTCTTGGACAGGATATCCGCCGGCAGCACTTGCTTGACGAACTCATCGAGCGACGCTACCGGAGGATCCAGGGTGGCAAGCATCTCCTTGGCGGCATCGGGATTGGGGCCAATATGACGTCTGGGGAAGGTATCGAGGGGTTGGAAAAGATCCGGGGGATGAGGCACGCCATGATCCGCGACGGAGCTGGTGTAGACAGGCCGTCGTGCAGAAGGCGACTGCTGTGTGGTGGTGTGAAGGGAACGAACCAAGGGAGAAGCTCTCCGCACCGCAATTGGCGAGGGAGCAGCGCGCAAACGAGAGCGCAGCGCCAGCTGGCGAGTGCCACGCAGAGCGCACAAAGATGCAGCCATACCTACAATTGAGCTAGTCCAACGATTTCAAGGATGGTGGACGGTAGGTAGGTGGGAGGGTAGGAGGGGAGTCTAGGGAAGGGGAGGTATAGACCCGGTTGCGCGAGACTTCAGCACATGAGATTGCGCAACACAGTTGAGGAGACGGAGGTAAGGAAGATGAGGAGGAGAGAGGAGAGAATATGAAATTAATTGCGACGATGAGTGATAAAAAGAAAAGAATAGACTGGAGGGGAGCAGATAGCAAGAATAATTAATCCTCCTCGACCGCGGGCGCCACGGATACTCGCGTCGGGAAACTGTCTGTCCGGCCGATAACGCTGGCCCCGGGCCAATCACAAGACGAGATATAGCTCCGGTCCCTCGCGATGGAGCCCCGCCATTTGCGATAAGCCCGCGATAAGATTCCCTTTCCCGCGGGAAATGCTTGCCTGCATTTATCTGTTTGATCAGTTCTTGCACTGTTTCTTTTGTTATATCTGATGCTCAAAGATAATTTGTGGCTGACGAAATATATCCCACTGAGCAGATGCCCCACTGCTAATTTTCTCACCAATTGACCTATACAAAATGTTGAAGGGAGGAAAAGAACAGCCTTCCTCCGCAATGGAAGCTCCTCCGATAGCGTTCCCCGGTGATGCAATCATGGACTTTCCCCGTGGAGCTGGGCCCGTCGGTAAGAGTCCCCCTTGCGAGCTGTGCGCTGCTGCAGCTGCAACATGAACTTTTATTCCAGTCTCTGACTTACGTTACTGTGTATGTACAACTGGTCTCAGCTGTTTATTGGTAATCTGAAAAATTACTCATCTGATAATTATGGGCATTGCACATCCTTGCTTACACAATGCAGTAGTTATGCAAGAATATAGATAGTAGCGTGCAGCTCCCGATCTAGAACACGAACACCCCGGCTGCTTTCCCGACGGGCAATTCCATTGCGCTCCACATCATTGGCTATCTCCAGTATTTGACGGCACAAACATTAACGGAATACTAATTTCATCTCCCATCCCGACAGAGATACCAGCCCAAATCCACACAATACCAAACCGAATATAAAAACCCTACTTTCCCGTCCTAGATAGTATACCGGAAATCGGCGGACCCCTCAATAACACGCTCTCCCCGATCGGCTTGCTTATTCGCATATCGGAACCACACACTCAGAGCAGCCACTGTGATCATCGTAACAAGGTTGCACCTGTATCACACTTAGCTTAGTGCAACCAACAAACGCACCCAAAATCATAATAAAAAATAAAGAGACAGAAAACTCACGCAATAGTTGTCCATATTCCCGGTCTATATTCAGGCGCATCTTTTGACTGAAACACCAAACTACTGAGGATGCCACCAATGGCTCCTACTCCAATTAGTGTCGCACTGCAAAACGCGCGCGTCCACTGGCCCCGGATATTGTTGGCTTGATAGGCCATGACAGCGGGGATATTGGAATTCGCCCCCGCGACCACCAGAAATACTCCCACGTATCGCGCTGCATTGCCTTTAGCAAATCCCATCAGCGGAAGGCCGATGATGCCGACTACGGCGTTGAACGCCACGATTGGTCCCCGTGTGCGATACCGATCGCTTATCCAGGCTGTTGTATACATCACGATACCCGCGAAGCCGTAGGGAGGTGCGACCAGACACTGTGCGGCGCCGGTGCTGAAGCCCATTCCGTCTTGAAGGATGATGGGGAGGAAATACGCGATGGCGTATGCCCCGGTTGTGCTGCATCTGCTTGTTGTCAGATCTTTATAGGAACAGTGGCGTGAAGAGAACTGACAGGCAAATTAACGCGAAACCCCAGATTTTCAGGTCGAGAGCTGGACTGAAGAATCGCTTGAAGGTAAAAGGCTCTCCATTTCCATCGGTACGGTCTCGGTTGATGCGTCGGACGATGAATGCACTCTCCCTCTCATTCAGGAACTTCCAGGACTTGTGTGCCTTTTCGGGAAAGTCAACCATGAAGACAAAGGTCAACAGTCCGATAACACCCGTAATCTAGGGATCATTAACACAATGTCTCCTTGTTCGGATCAAAAACATACCACGCCCTCCATTATGAATATCCATCTCCACCCTGATATGCCCTGAATGCCTCCCATTTGCATCAGACCAAAGGCAAGTACACCGGCTAGTGCTGAGGCTACACAGCCGATAAGGTAAAAGACTGAGTATCGCTTTTGAATGTCATCTGTGTTGTCAGCCAAATTACATGGATGTTGGTCTGCGTAACTTACATCGGACGTACCAACTTGAAAGAAGGTACACACAGCCCGGGAAGTAACCTGCAAGAAGATATGTGAGCCAATTATGCAAGGCAAAGAATTGTTACACCAAGTCACACTCACCTGCTTCCAACGCACCAAGGAGCACACGGATTGCGACCATTTGCTTCCAATTTTTGACAAAGCCCATTCCCTAGAGTAGTAACCGTCAGGCTTCTAGTTTCTCAAGGATTGAGGGAACGGAGTCAACGTACTACGAGAATTGCTCCCCACGATATGACCAGCGTTCCCAGAAACAAAGTCGGGCCCACCTTCCGGATGATGACCGTCATCGGAGGTTGAAAGACCACATAGGGTATGAAGAAAACGAGAATCACGACAGACTAGACCTCGTCAGAATATGCATCCTCAAATGACAGAGTAGAACTCACATAGCGAGTCCCAACTCCAAGCTGCAAGTCCTTCGTCATGCTGATTTCCAGTCAAAAATCGATCCAACACAACATAATCTGTTCATCAACCAAATCCAAGAAACTTACCCAGCAACCGCCGCCATACTAAGATTTGTCCTATCCATAAGCGAAATGCAATACGCCAACCCAGCCATAGTCACCAGCCGACGATCAACCCGATAAATGATCTTGCGCTGCTCTGCAGGCGTAAACTCCTCATCATAGTCCACATCATTAATCCCAGACTTATCGATATCCTCAATCCGCTCGACACTGGGTGGTTTCTCAATGTCCTTAGACGACATGGTGGTTCAGCCAGCTATAACAAATCGAGTCCGAAATATATTAGCCTGATAGATATGAATTAAAAGAAAATCGAAGCAGGCTGCAACCATATATCAATAAAACGCCTCCCAGCAACGCAGCACAAATCGCCGCGCTTGACCCCCGCGATGCGTGGCAAGCCACATTTCTTACACACCAGCTCAGCTGATAGCATGCGGCATTTGCTCAGTAGTTACCAAAAATCAGGAATACGAGTCTAGATTGGACCAACATCGACGCAATGATGTATAGCACCGCGCGTTCTCCACATTTTCCCCAGGTTTACGGACTGTAAGGCCGATGCGGGGAGGAGCTATGATCGAATGCGGGGGAGTTGATTATCAGCCACTAGTTAAGGCTGCGAGTCAATTGGAGGGACCGTCGCTAGGTATATTTCTGGCGAACCTATCGAGAAGGTTGATCGGGTTGAGGTCTCGTCGGGCCGATATAGGGCCGCTTGTAGCTCTTAGGGGTTACCATCCGTAATCGCTAATGTCTACATAAAGAGGAGGCAAGCCTTCAAAGGGTTTATCGAAAAGCATGGATGGGCGATTAAGTCACCTGCCGACATACAGAGAGCATTTCTAGTGATCGAACATCGCACGATGCAACAAAGATAATACGACCCTCGCGACAAATTGTCTGCCCCGGTTGGCCAAAATATATCTTACTACGCGCAAGATCCGAGATAGAGTTCGAGAAAAGCAATCTAACAACGATACGAACTAGGCAACATTCCTAGCCAATTTTAACCGACCAGCCCTACGGCCATTCCTCCATTCCTGGCATATGTCTCAGGCCTGCTCGGCACGTCTCCAAATGGATAAGCGCAAACCTAAGCATCCCCGCCACCAGGCCGAGTTTCTTTGTTCTCTGGTTTCTAGCACTCCCGAATCTTGCCATGTTTGCGTACTGGCTTCCACCTCGCGATGGCATTTGATGATATGCTCGGCCCGGTTGTTGCGTAACCGGGCCGATCTTAAGTTTGACCTAGTATCTGGTCCCCAGCGGCCCGAATATAGAAATGCTATTACTCCGTGTACTTCTGGTTTGAATCTCATTTCGAGTACGTAGACTCCGAATGACGTCCACCGACCCATACATCAGCATCCAGAGCTATGTGTTGAGCATGGCTAGAGGTATACTTCTGTCACGGGGGATAATCGTACCTATGCATGACGCTTGAGCCGTATCAATGACCCGTAAATTCCACCGTGACGCATAATTTGCTTGGGACTCTCGTGAAATGCCAATGCCTTCAACACTAGCATTAGCGGCTCCTACTTTGGGAGTGGCCTCGAAGGTCTTTGACACTTGGCGCTCGCGTTTCTCTCCAGTGGGGATTTGGGGTCCAAAGAACTCAGTGATTTCGAGACTTGAAGTGTGAGTCTGCCTCCTTTGACACTCAGTCTCATGGAATTTCATGGTAATACATTTGTGATGTTTGTCAATACTAAATATACTCGCGATAACCTGTTTCAAACTTATTCGTAAAGAGCTAATAATCTCATTATAGTAACCGAGATGACAAACGCTCGGTATAGGATTTTCATGTCATTTACACTTTGGGTTACAGTTCACGTACATACTGATATGTCGTGATAAACTATATTTCCAATTTCATCAGTGCAGTGATGTTATACTATGCTATCATAGCCACTCTGGATTCGGTCGTTGAAGGACGGTAGGAAGGGAAAATCATTCAGGGAACGATGTGATTCGCCTGGATAATGCCCATCCGTGTGGGCAGGTACCCGCGAACACGTATTTTTCATAAAGATACAGGTATACGCGGATCTTACCATACCAGAATAATATGCATCCCTCAATGACTTCGGAAAATATCAAATTATAGTTGAGTTTAGGAGACGCTCCAGGTGTCGAGATATGGGGAAGAGGAGTACCCTCATAGTATACGATAATTCTTTAGGAGTAGGATAATTGTTGGTATCTCCTTGTATTTACAATACAGCAGGCAATCAGTATCAAACCATTACATCTTCGATACGAAATACCTCCCCACTTGCATGCAGCAGCAACTTGTACTACTATATAGGGCTACAGCTCCCCACTCGATAGAAGTCAAGGGCCCAAACTTCCTTCCCCTCTCTGTGGAAAAGTCTTCAGTCCAAACCTCAATTGCCATCTCCATCATGCCCGCCAATGCAATCACTATCATCTTCTCACCCTACCACGTCGGCATCCGCGACCACCGAGTCGGCAACGGACCCCACCGCATTCGCCAACACGGCATCATCCAAGCCCTCGAAGGCCTAGGTGTTGAAGTCAATTTGATCGAACTCGAACCAGTCGACAAATTCGAAGGCGAGATTGGTCGCAGCTTCGAGCTCCTCCGACGCACGTCTACGACCGTCACTCAAGCAGTTGAAAACAACACCTTCCCCATTATCCTCTCAGGCAACTGCATGGCAAGCGCAGCGGTAGCCTGCGGATTGAACACCAACAATCTAAAATTCATCTACTTCGATGCTCACGACGATCTAGATTCACCTGATGTCAACGAGAACGGTTATCTCGACGCGATGGGCCTTTCCATGCTCCGTGGCGAGAGCTGGAAGACTCTTATGAGGACGGTTCCTGGATTTAAACCTTTCACGTATGATGGCAACTTCCTGTACTGTGGACTACGGGATCAGAGTGATGTTCAACGCCAGCGGGTGATTGATGCAGGGATGAGTGCTATATGGGGTGATAGCGACCGTAAGGTCGACTTTGTGGGTGAGTTGCGCAGGGAGTTGGACCTCAAGTCGTATGGTCCGGCTTTGGTGCATTTAGATTTGGATGTGCTGGATGAGACTTATGGGAAGGTTAATGATTACCCTTCCCCCGGGGGATTGTTTGAGAGGGACTTGTTGGGTTGTATGGAATTGGTGCCTACGAGGAGCACACCTATGTCTCTTACTGTCTGTTCTTTTGATCCTGACGTGGGAGATGGCGATAGAATTGCAAAGATTGCTGTTCGCGCGGTGACTGCGTTCATTCGATCTTTGTTGGATACAGGGGTGATACTGAGACAGGATTTATAAGGATATGGGTAGAGTTATGATTTGGAGGGAAGGAAGTTTATAACAAATACGGATTACTCTATTTAGTGTGGAACTGCGAGACCGATGAAGGGAATCCACGAAAAAATTGAAATATAAGGCAATCAATATTAGTTTGAAGCTCTTGGAGTGGTAAACCTGAACCAATCAAAGTCTGGTATTGCCCCCTTTTATCAAGTTATGAGCACAGAAATACGGTTTGCGAAGACGGCATTATATATCAGAAAGACAATCACGTATATAATACACGCATCAGGAATACTGCGGATAAAGTAATGCTATCTTCAATGCAACACATCATTTCTCCAACAACTTTCGAGAAGCATGTCACCAAATGCTCTCTTCTCCTGATTGATAATCTCCAGAAATCTACCAGAGAGGCCTCCGTGCAATTTCATAGATCGAACCCATGCTCCCAGTCGGTATCGGGAAGAGGACCCGACAAGAATGCATCATCACCTGCGGATAGAAAATTGTGGGGATTGAACAACTCCTGATCCATATGTAAGCTCCCTCCAAAGAAAGGGCTACTATATTCCGCAGCCTGAACCGCTAATGGTGAGTCCAATGGGTCCTGCAGCCATGCATCAACGCTACCTGCAATCTCTGAATCATGATTTTGGCGTTCGTCTTGATACTCAAGAGAGGATTCAACAGGTGACTGGCCCTTGTTCTTCACAATATCATGGACCCTCCATTTCTGTGAAACCAGGCCAACTGCCCGTACTGAACGCTTTGCCCATCCCCAGGCGATGCTCATTTGCTCCAAGTAATGAAGCGTTTCTAGGAAAAGCTGTCTCGATTTATCCCTTAATTGACGGTCTTTGGAGGTCATGTTGAAAAGATGGATGAATGCAGCGGTACGGGCAGGATCAACTACGGATATCGATACCTTTCTCTATTAGTTAAGTGGATTAGTACAAGACACGGTAAGTGCGTATAAACGATGAGTGGTGTGGTCTTCACCAAGGTAAAGAACTTAGCGTAAGCCCTGAACAGAACTGTTACTTTTTCTGCGGCTTTTATGCATGTTTCCCAGCTTGTAGAGGCGGATTCATTTATGGAGCGACGGGAAGGGCCGTTATCGCTGGGTATAGAGATAAACGGCCGATGGAGAAGTATAACCAAGGTGTAAAAGTGCATGCTGAAAGAGAGTCAACAGGTTTTGATAGAATCTAGCATAGGTCATGGCACGTACTGGAAACAATACATATGCGGTGGCAAGGGCCTTGAAGAAGTTGGTGGCAGGCGAAGAACACTTGGCAAGTTGTTATAGAGAGCAGTTAATGCTATATCAGTCTTCGTCATTATGCTCTTCTTTTCGGTGAAGGAAACAATATATTCAGGGCTATAACTATAGGCGAACATAAGCAACTTAAATGAAGTAACCAAAAGATGGTTATAACTTACATGTCATCTAGTGGACGAGCTGCTAATCGCAAAAGTTGACATGTATTGATGAAAGTAGTGATAGAGTACGATAGATATGGATGGCTAGCTGAGGATGTCGAGTGTCCATTCCATTGGCCATATTCAACATCAGCTAAATTGGATGGGAAATCGACCTGTATATCGCGCTCAATGATGATACTTGGTCGACCAATGCCGACAGTAAACAATCTTGTCGGTTAGCATGCAGCGAAAACGTTTTTATCTACAGATAAGTGAACTACACGCTTACTTTTCAATCATGTAACAACCCCACCATGCGATTGACCGCAGCTCAACTTCGTCAGGAGTCATGGATCCCGAAGAAACCCACAAATGTGGGTTGATATGTAGCCCTAGGTTATATGCCATTCGAATGGCAATCCCTGTGCGGGTAGTGAGCTATCACTTGAAGGGGTTATCAAGATTTTATTGGAAAGGTACACATACCGAGGTAAATCCAACCAGATGGTTCATTGTCCTTGGCCATTTCAAATAGAGATAGATGTGCGGCGGCCACTATTGTTGAAACTCGTGGGGCCTTGATCTCTTCGAACAGGAGAGCCTGGGCCTTTTGGGAGAAACCGTCACCTGCAGTACTCGAATCATTAGGGACAGTGCGGACTTTAGGATTATCAGAGTATCTCGCTGCCAAGGCTAGCATGGAGTGAAGAAGCAACGGGGTACAGTATCCATCATCCAAGCGAGCTTCCAGACTCCTGAGGAACACTTTTTGATAAACCAAATACTGCCAAGGATTCTGCCAATTCCAGTAAATTTCGAGGAGTTCTTCTCGGATTTCGGGATCTACACCAATTGGCTGTAATGGCTGGTCTGGGTTTTGGCGAAAGGTAAAGGGCTTTGCTCCCTGTCGTTCCATAAAGCTGAGATTGCTGCGCGAGCCAAAGTACCGCAGCTGGTCGCCTTCTCCTATGCTTAGGCCCCCAAGGACATCGGTGATATCATCAATAGGGTCTCGGGATTGAGACTGAGCCCCAGAATTATCTTTATTTCCCACTTTGTCATCCTGACTCTGCAACTGGTGAGTTGTTGTACTAATTGTATCGCTTTCTTGGGGCTGATATTTTGCTAATTGCGACTCCAAAAATTCTATACGAGCATTCAGAGCTTGTATGTGCTGCTTGGTTGGTGGCCTTGTTCGTGTCAACGACCGACTAACAAGCAATGTAACCGTTTAACATGCTTACTTGCGTTTCTCCTTATCATATTTATACTCGCAGTTTTCCGCGTAGCTCAAGCATCCAGCACAAGATGGTTTGGCACCATCACACTAACTCGATATCGGAACGTTAAGGCTCATAAATTTGGTACCATTCGACGATAATGAATTGCCAACGAGTCCGCTTACCTTGATTCGTTTCCTCCGGCAAACTTCACAAGCGACAGACACCCTTCTACGGTATGTTTGTGGTTGGGGCATGATGATGATCTTCTAAAAGATGTATGTAACAAAAGTGATGGTTAGTAATGTGGTAGCCAGTAACTATCGGTGGCAAGCGGGCGCGACGGAATCTCTTTTTTCCTGTGGAATACCCGCTTTCCATCAGCAACCGTGGGTTTTCCTATTAGTACGTCGTGCTATCCTACATAAACTTTAATATATTGATGATTTGCAAACTGGTGAACAGAGCACCGAACAAGATGCCGCAATATATTTCGCCGTCAGCCCACCATAAAGCGGGGTTGGTAGTATAGTATCATGCCAGGTTGATTGTAGTGATCAGTGCCTTGGAGTAAAATATATAGTTTCAATTAGTAAACACACTATCTCCAATGATATCCTACCTGAATTGGGCCCCCAACTTATTGATCTCTTTTTGCCATAATCGGCTGCATTAGAAAATCATCATACACAAGCTCTTCTGCTGTCGGACGTTCTTCCGGAAGCCATCGAAATATCCTGCGCAAGAA